TCAGGAAGAGGTATGTAAGTACCTAGATCAAGTGTTAAGGCTTACAGTATGATAGGTTAAGAGGCTTGGGAGGGGGGACAGAGTTTTTTTTGGCACACTAAACTTTAACTTTCCGGAGCTCATCTTTCCCACAGACTGGTGTAGCAAGAAGATTGGCATGCCATCCCTTACCTTCATGTCTCCCCCCAGCACTGACTGTGCACATATATAGTGTACCTGTTAGAGCAGTCATATATAGCTTTTTTTATTTTTTCCATAACTATAAAACAGAAAAAAGGCAGATCTCAAATTGTAAAATGTGGAAGGGTGTCAGTGTCTCATATTTATTTTATTAATTTCCCTTACTGTTGTCAAGTTTGCATTGTTCCTACTACCTTTGTCATAGGACAAATGTCACCCAGGGATCCAGCCATATTCATACAGCAGCCAGGGGAGTAGGGGAGTAGGGGCATAGAGGAATACTTCAATATATCACTGAGTGAAAGCTCTGAGTCAGCTGGGACTGCTGTCATTATATTAATGGTGGTTGTATCCAGCAGCAATCCCAGGCTTTTTGGATATGCGCTTAACCTCCCTAGCGGTCTGATTATGTCAATATTTCTGTGCTCAAAGCGGTACATTTTTTTGCATGGAAATATGTATTTTTTTTTTATTATAGGCCTGTAATTTTTAGGAATAACTCACTGAAATCTGTCCGAACAAGAGTCTAGTAAACATCCTGGGTATGATAAAATTTGAAACATGAAATCATAAATTATAATATAATAAATAATCATAAAAAATAATAAATTTAATTCAATAGTATAATCAAACCAAAAACACTGAAATTTTAAATAGAGCGCCAAGTTCGCACATCACTGAGCTTAGTCGTGAAATTGTTTTCAGTGTCTGATGATGAATTTCCCCACAAATCATTATCACTCAATTCTGCAAGTAGTTCTAATTTACTATCGCTGTTTTCTAGCTGGTCTAAAACCGCTTTTGACGTAAAGGGACTCTTTTTGGACGCCATGGACGTTTCTCAGCTTCCAGGCAGAAAGAACAGTAGAAAGGCAGGCAGGGCACAGGACAAAGCACTCGGGACAAAATGTATGTGAAATGGTTTGATACAGTAATGGAATACTATGTGATTTTAGTGTATTGAGTGAATGTCACTTTTTAACATTTGTAAATTATCCGCCGGTTCCGTCCCCCGTACGTCCCGACACTCGCAGGGAACAGAACCCGGAAGACAGATGCCGGCATCGGCCAGAGCAGATGGCCGGGGACGCTGCAGGGGGGACATCGCGGGAGCAAAGGACAAGGTAAGTGCAAGAGGGATCCCTGAGCAACGCTGCAGGGTAATCTCGAGTGTAGCTCGGGGTTACCACTTTTGGTACTGAAAGTTAAACCCCGAGCTACACTCGGGAATACCGCCATGGGAGGTTAAAGGAGGCCTTTTTGGGTAGATAACATGCAAAAATTAATATGTAACCTAATTGGAAGATTGTTGTTTAAATGAATATTCTAGCTACAGGATCTCTTTAAAGTAGAACTAAAGGAAAAACTTTTTTTCCTATTTTCAGTAAAGTAGGGGAAGGTTATATATAACCCGTTTCGACATTTGTGTCCCATTAACCTCCTTGGCGGTTTTCCCGCGTGTAGCTCGGGGTAGAATTTCTATACCAAGAACGGTAACCCCGAGCTACACTCGGGCTTACCATGCAGCGTTCTCTGGGGGTCCCTGCAGCACTTACCTTGTCCTTCGCTCCCACGATGGGTCCCCTGCAGCGTCCCCGTCCATCTCCTCTGGCGGATGCCGGCATCTGGCTTCCGTGTTCCGGTCCCTGTGACGTCGGAACGTTCGGGCGGCGGAACCGGCGGGAAATTTGAAATTTTTAAAAAATGACATTTTTGCTGTCATTGCTTTTTCACTGCATTTCACATACATTTTGTCCCCACTGCTTTGTCCTGTGCCCTGCCTGCATTTTGACTGTTCTTTCTGCCTGGAAACGTAGAAAAGTCCATGGCGGCCAAAAAGCGTCCCTTTACGTCAAAAGCGGTTTTAGAACAGCGATAGTAAATCAGAACCACTTGCAGAATTGAGTGATAATGATTTGTGGGGAAATTCGTCATCAGACACTGAAAACGATTTTGCGACTTTGCTCAGCGATGTGCGAATTTGCCTCTGTATTTCAAATTTCAGTGTTTTTGGTTTGATTATATTATTGAATTAAATTTATTATTATTATTATTTTTTTTTATGATTAATTATTAAATTATAATTTATGATTTAGTGTTTCAAGTTTTATCATATCCGGAATGTTTAATAGACTCTTTTTCGGATAGATTTCAGTGAGTTATTCCTAAAAATTACAGCCTACAATAAAAAACTACATATTTCCATGCAAAAAAATGGTACCGCTTTCAGCACAAAATTCCTGACATAATCATACCGCCAGGGAGGTTAAGGAAATTTCCCTTGTTTTCCTAAACCACATCCAAAACAAGAAGTGCAAGGGAACCCATGACTGTCACCTGAACTAATATCCCCAAGGAATATTTCCTCTATTCCTGTTATGGTGACAACCCAAAATTATGGATTTTTTTTCACTTTCATTCTTGGTTATAACAGTAAATAGGACAAATAGAGAGGATAATGAGGAGCCGTGGCGATCTGACCTGGAAGTGAGAGTGGGTACCTACCAAATGTGGCAGTGGAGGAGGCAGACAAGCGGAACTTCCCCTTTTGGGTGAAGTTCTTTAATCTCTCCAACTGGGACACAGACTGCAATGGAATCCTGACAGGTGTTCTAATCTCTCTCCACAATAATGTTTTGCCTTTAGTTATACTTTTAGCCTGGGTTCACAATGATGCGGTGCAGAATTCACACTGGTTTCTGTGTGAATTCCGCATCACAATCGCATCCCGTTCATGCAAACCGCTGTGGTTGTGTAAGTTAACAACACCCCAAAATCGGTTAAAAAAAAAGGCAATGCAATGTGCAGAATTGGATCGATGGGTGTGAATACCCATGCGAGCCGATTCTAGTGCAGACCAAAAAAGGGTCCTGCACCTTTTTGGTGCAGATGCGGTGCGATTTGAGCCATACAAAATGTATGGCTCAAATCGCACCACAGAGAATTCACATGTGATTTGCACAGGAATGCGGTGTGGTTCCTGTGTGAATCACATGCGATGTGCCATACTGCAGAAGTGTGAACCCAGGCTCGGGTGTGATAACATGACCTCTCAGGCAGTAATATATCATTTTAGCTTGTAGTAATATTAAACCCAAAAACAAAAATATATTATCCCAAAAGGAAAAATGAACTGTTGCTGTAAGCACAGTTTTGCAGCCTGGCAATGTTTATTGGGATGTCCGGCATTGGTTGAGATAAGTTAAAAATGTACCTCAACTGACTGATTTTGACACCTCAAAGTGCCCATGTGAAAGGTGACTAACTGCTTAAAAGGCTCCATGCACACGGGGCGTTTTAATAACGCTGGTAACATTAGCTGTGTAAAGTCACCTTAAAAAACATGATTTATCAGCGGTTTTGCATTAGTGTTTAGCAGCATTTGCTGTTTCTATCGGTTTATTTTTAACCAAAAAAAATATTTTTTTTTTTTATAAAAAGGGGAAATCTTTAGGCTTCAATCACACTGCAGCACCTGTTTTTAACTTTTGTAAGCACAGATGTTGTCTTGAAAGTATAGACAACTTTTATGCCTTTTCAATAAACATAAAAAAAACAGGTTTGACAGTGCCATTGTGAATGAAGCCTTAGAAAGCAGCAACGGTCAGAACAGCAGTAAAGACAAGTATGGACAGAGCAGTCCAAAAGGGAAGGGCGAGGTAAGTGTGATGAGTCCTTGCCAGAATCTGGAATGTCTAAACAAGCTGTGATAATTAAAAAAAAAAAAAAAGGCTCATCCTCTACAGATTAGCAATGGAGTATTAATAGCTGGCTATATAGAAAGACACAATCATCAATCAAGGAGGAAAAAATAAAAAAAACACAAATCTTTTTATTTATTTTGTTTTATTATCAATCATATTTTTTTTCTTAATTTAAACAATTCAAACTTTATAGAGTGTCTACCCTCACATAGAACACAGAAGTAAAAAAAACTGTAGTGGAGCACAAGGTACAAAGCATCATTTCTAAAGTATTTTCTGTGCCAAGCAGCCTGTAGCATCTCCTGCCCACCATGGCAGCCTGGCTCGATGATTAGCCACCGCTCACCATTACAAAATGTCACCATAAATACTCCCGTCCACAGCAGCCTTCATGTGTAGCCCAAGGTAGTGTATTGAGCCACATGACACTCAGCACTGTGACACGTCCTCTGATAACATTGCCTGATGGGGCTGAATCTCAATGGAGGCCAACAGGAACATCAGACAGCAGCTGTGTCTGTGTGGTGGGACTGTACTGGAATAGCTGCCCAACGCAGTGCCACCGCATGTTTTGTGTACATACCCTTATGGCACGTGTGTCAAACTGGCGGCCCTCCAGCTGTTGCCAAACTACCAAGTCCCACAAGGCATTGCAAGATTGACAGTTACAAGCATGACTCCCAAAGGCAGAGGCATGATGGGACTTGTAGTTTGGCAACAGCTAGAGGGCCACCAGTTTGACACCTTTGCCTTAAAGAAACCTTCATTAATTCACGAAGCATACATTTCTCCAGTTGGGTGACATGAGCTATCACATGGTGGTAGGAAATAACTGTTGGTTTGTCAAGATTAGCCCCCCCCCCCAGGGTATGGTAAGTGTGCCAATCTCAGCATTATACTGAGTCCGGCCCCACATTTTATGCAACTCCTCACATTAAGCGGATCTGTGGGCCAAGCCTGAGCTATGATTTGGAAGACAATTGTGGATAACATTTGTGCCATGCGTTTAGGGGTGAATGTGACAAGCCACCATCACATCCAGCTAGCTTGCTGTGCCCCCTATCCTCTATCCTCTGTTACTCTAGCTTTTGGCAGCCCTTCTCCATATCAGGAGCTCTAATATTTGGGAAAGGCAGGATCGATCTTCTCGGCCCATGCCATCAGGCCCCCTGCAATATCCTTTACTGTAAACTCATTAAAACCTTCTTCAGAGAGTCGCTGTAGAATTTTTACGGCTTTCTGCGAGTCATTTCCAAGTTTACAGACGACAATCAGTTTCTTCCACTGACTACCACACTCGCTGGTCCCCCTCCTCTCCCCCAGGAGATCTGCAGCATTTCCAGCTTCAAGCTGGCTCAGTGGGATGTGGACAGAGTGTGGTAGGTGGCAGATGTCTACCTCAACCTGTGGTCGGACATCAATGAGCACGTGAGGCACACCATCATCCAGAAGCTGTTTGTACTCCTGGACAGTCATCCTCTCAGTGGCACTCAGCAGGTATAACGTCCGGCACCTATCAGAGGCAGAGGAGCCACAGAACGCCTCATAGTTCTCAAGGATACGGGATTCTGACCCACTGCCACAGGTGGTACAATCGGCTCGTTTACCTCGAAGCTTAATGTTGCGGAAACGTCCGTCCAGTGCGTCATACATTAGCATGGTGCTGCTGTAGCTCGGATCAATTCCAGAGGCCAATTTTAGCACTTCTTGGGCTTGTAGACACCCCATGATCCCAGGGACAACACCCAGGACACCGCCATCAGCACAGTTGGTGACAGTTTCTGGAGGTGGAGGAATGGGGAACAGGCATCGGTAACATGGCCCTCCCTGGTGGTTGTATATGGTTAACTGGCCTTCCCAGCGGAGTGCACTGGCTGATACAAGCGGCTTCCCTGCGACCGCACAGGCATCACTGATCAGGTATCTAGTAGGGACATTGTCCGAGCAGTCAGCTACAATGTCATACTGGCGGATTAGTGGCACAGCAATGGCAGGACTCAGCATCATCTGGTACGGGATGTACTCCACGTTGGAATTTAGCTGCTTCAGTGCTGTCACCATGGATATGGATTTTGGCATCCCAATCCTCTCCTCGCTATGGAGGACCTGTCTATGAAGGTTGTTCTTCTCCACCTCGTCATAATCCAACAGCCCCAAGCGTCCAACTCCGGCCGCAGCCAGATACTGCGCCAGAGGGCAGCCCAAGCCCACCACACCCCACTACCAGCACCGAACGCTGGGAGAGGCGGAGCTGACCCCTGACCCCAAACTCTGGGAGCACCAACTGGCGGCTGTAGCGTAAGATTTCTGCGTTGGACAGGGAGTGCCGAGAGAGTGCAGGAAGTTCTTCATTGGTGCTGTGCAGCCTGGGTGGGGAGGAGGACCTCTTAAGGTGCTGGCATGAAGAAGACCTATCTCTGAGCTGTTCCTTCAGGATGATAATCTCCTGGTCTCTCTTCTTCATCTCTTCCTTCAGTCTCTCCAGCTCTGCACGCTCCATGTATGAGGAGGAAGCTTCTGTCCTGTAGCCTCTTTCCCTGTCCTGTCTGTGGGAGATCGGCGGGGGCTTGGCCAAGACCACGCTGTGTGATCGGAGCAGTCAGTCAGCTGGACTATCACAACTGTGCGCTATACAATGAAGGCGACGTGGACCCAACCGCGTGACATCTCCGAGCAACCTCTCACTACACCGGAACCCGGAAGTCACCGTTCATGTTGCTGCGGACGCTTTAGAGGCGTGCACTGAACACACGTGTGACTACAGGAAGATGGAGAATGTAACAGAAGGGACATGGGACACTTTACCGGACAGATTACATGACAAAATACGGAAAACTCTCCGAGAACTGAACTTCAGTCACATGACCCCGGTACAGGTATGAGCCTATGACTCCTCATGTATGGACATCACACAGGGATACCTGGGCTGGAGGTTGTGTGCACAAGGGAGGCTGAGGAAGTCACACCTGACCCTATGGCTGATCTGTGTGTATACATCTACATATAGATAGATAGATAGATATGTATATGTGTATATATATATATATATATATATATATGTGTGTATATATATATATATATGTATATGTATATATATATATATGTGTATGTGTGTATAGATAGATATATATATATATATATATATATATATATATATATATATATATGTAAAATTACAGCCCTGGCCAAACGTTTTGAGAATGACACAAATACTACTTTTCAGAAAGTCTGCTGCTTCAAGGTTTTTAGATCTTTCTGTCAGATGTCCCTATGGTATGCTGAAGTATACTTTCAAGCATTTCAGAAATGTCAAAGGCTTTTATTGACAATGACATTAACATTAACCATTTGCCCTCCTGAGGATTTACCTCCCTTCCTGACCAGGAAATTTTTTGCAATACGGCGCTGCGTTACTTTAGCTGACAATTGTGCGTTCATGCAACGCTGCACCCAAATGAGATATATGTCCTTTTCACTGACACCAAAGACAGAGCACTGTTCTCCCCACTGACACTAACAATGGGGTACTATTCCTCCTACTGACATCAATGATGGGGCACTATTCCACCCACTGACACCAGTGATGAGACACCATTCTTCCCACTGACACCAATGATGGGGCACCATTCCTCCCAGTGACACCAATGATGGGACACTATTTCTCCCACTGACACCATTTATGTACATTTTTTTTACCCCCATTTAGTAAACCAAGCCCATGGCAGTTGCTTTGCTTGTTTTATCCGGCGCTTGGGGCACTCCACGAATATGAGGCACTGTCCCTTCCACTGACACCAAAGACAGGGCACTATTCCTCCCACTGACACTAACAATGGAGCACTATTCCTCCCACTGACATCAACGATGGGACACTATTTTTCACACTGACACCAACGATGGGACACTATTCCTCCCACTGACACCAACGATGGGACACTATTCCTCCCACTGACACCAACGATGGGACACTATTCCTCCCACTGACACCAACGATGGGACACTTTTCCTCCCACTGACACCAACGATGGGACACTATTCCTCCCACTGACACCAATGGGACACTATTCCGCCCACTGACACCAATTACGTAATTTTTTTTTACTCCATTTAGTAAACCAAGCCCATGGCATTTTCTACTCCCACTGGCCATAGTCCAGCCCCCTTAAAAACTGAAGGGCATTAAAGTGGCCCTTTGTTTCAGAAGTTTGGAGACCCCTGCTGTAAACTGACCTGATTACTGCCTCCTCATAAGTTTACAATGTCAGTTTTCCACTTGCAAGTCTGATTTATTTAGAGATAAAGAACATGTGCAAGTGTAATAAAAAAAGTCATATTTAGTTGTTTTGGCTGCTATAAGCCAATGAATAAGTGCCATGTTGTTGCTGTACCTAACCATACTGCATGCCCCATTTTCATTTGGATGGCTGTAAGCTCCTGTAATGCTTTGTATGATTGTTGCAAATTCATTGTTTTAATTAAGGGCCCATTCACACCAGATGCAGTTGGATGCATTTTTGACTGCATTCCATCTGCATAGACAGTCCAAAATCCACTTTATCCTTTAGGCATAGTTCACATCAGTACAGTACTGTGCAGTGAAAAAAGTACAGCATGCTGCATATTTCTGCACTGCAAACATGCGCAAAGGTAACGTATCACAGTGCACTTAAAAGCTCAAGAAAGAAAGAAGGAAGGAATTGACCTCAAAGAACAAACGCAAATGAAATGCATGCAAATGTACATGAAAAAACAGGCTGTAAATGTGCAGTTTTTGGTGTGAATGGATCTTAAGGGTCAGTTCACACCATGAGCCACACAGAAACGCGTTGTATGTTCCTGTAGGATTCACATGCAATCCAGATGCAGTGCAAATTCAGCTTATTCATTTGAATGGGCTGAAATGACGTTGGACTGCACCAGAAGTAGTGCACGCACTAAATGACACAAAACAACATTTTAAAAATACTCTGCAACTGGATCGCATTGTACTACTGTACCACGCAAACTTTCTGTGTCTGGGGTGTCATTGAGTTAATACTGACAACTGCTGCAGACTGCAAGCGCAGTGCGTTTTGAATGTGGTTTGGGAAATTGGCACAGAACTAAGGTTTCTTGCATCATGTTCTGGTGTGAACTGGTCCTAAAACACTGATTTCAATAGAATCAAACTGACGTTTGCTTACCATCTAGAAATAGAAGTGACCGTAAATTTTTTGTGATATATATTTTTTTTCTAGTCTGCGACTATTCCTCTGTTTATGGGCAACAAAGACATTGCTGCAGAAGCGGTAAGTTTATTGTCACATTTATGTTCTGATACTACAGCTAGACTCTGCTTTTGATTTGTACTAAGCACAGCAAACCAGTCTTGTTAAAGTATACAATGAAAGTGAAAGACATTTATTATTTCAATGTTTATTTTCCTAGCAGTATATTGTGATCAATTGCATCTCTTAATAGATAACCGGAAGTGGCAAGACTTTGGCCTTTGTAATCCCACTTTTGGAGATACTGCTAAGGAGAGAAATAAAGCTAAAGAAAAATCAGGTATATACTGTTGGGTTTTTAATATTTTTAATTTTTTTGGATGGAGTTTGGAAAGACTAAAATCCCTGTCTGGAGCTTTTGTGGCTTGTTACAAGAGTCCCTGTCAATACTATCACAGAGGTGTGCTCACAATACCAGTATATTTAAAAGGGGAGGTCACCAGTGGCAGCCTCTATACTAAGGGCCCTTTCACCATGATCAGTTTTACATTCTTATTTGGTGTTTTAACAGCTGAGTGGGAGCACAATTATTCTGGGTGGATGTCATATTATTATACAGGATTTATATAGCGCCAACAGTTTGCTCAGCACTTTACAATATAACGGGAGACAATACAGCAACGATACAGTTCAATACAAGAGGGTTAGGAGGTCCCTGTTTCTTGGCGCTTACAGTCATATGACATCCTCCCGCTCGCTCTACTTGTGTGCTCCCTAGTGGCCGCACAGTGGCGTGATCTGTGTCCACAGGACACAGCAGAAGACAGATTGTTGTACCAGGCCGGCCCTGGTAACATGTGATCTCTGTGACCAGTCACAGCGATCACGTCAGTTGTACACAATGGCTTTCATTCATAGCCATTCATTGAATATTATTGCGATCAGTCACAGTGATCACATGGTACAGGACAAATCACAGCTGGCCTGTGCCATGTGATAGCTGTGGCCAATCACAGCTATTACAAATGCACACAATGGCATATTAATGGATGCCATTCGTAAAAACTATTGTTTATAACCGTGATCATCACTTTAATAAGCAATCATAGAGAAAAAAAAATCCTTACCACCTCCCCAGAGCAGTACAGTGTCACTATGGTAACACTGTACTGCTCTAGTCACCATATGAAATAAAAGTTTCAAAAAATTGAAAAAAAAAATATTTTTTTTATATATTGTATGTGGTTAAAGCAGTTCAAGTGCTGTTGAGGTAGTTAACAGTGGCACAAAAATGCAAGAAAATTGTATCCATTTAAATCCTATGGAACTCTTCACACCAATTTGCTGCGCGTGGTGCATTTTTAAAAGTCATGCATGCTGCATTTTTGGTGCATGTTGTAAAAAGCTCACCAAAAATGCACCTCCTCAATGCAATGAATGGAAAATGCATAAAATAGGCATTTTTGGTACACTTTTTGAGTCACATGTGCATGATTGGAGTCAGAAAGGTAGAAAATGCACCAAAACACGTGTTTTTTTTTCAATGGAGCAGTGTGAAAGGGCCCTTACTCAGTACATGCCTGCTTTTTTAGTAACTTCACCCATATTTGTGGAGAAGTTTGTTTTTTGTTGCTATATGAGATTTTTCATCACTTCCTGTCCTGAAAATACCAAGGCATTTCAATGAGGTGAATGTCCTTTTTTCTTAAAAAAAACCAAAAAAAAACCAAAAACACTGGTCTTGGTTCCTAGTAATTTCTACAATGTTACTTATACAAATACTTGTGACAGAGAGGGGAAACAGGTAGTTCAGATGTCAGGGAAAATCTCCACGTGTCACAGTAGTAAAAACCAGATAGGAGATATACCCCTTCTCTGCTCTATCCAACATCCATCCATTTTGGCTATGTTCAAGAAGTACAAGAGATTTTTTTTTTTTTTACTACTGTTGTGCAGGTTGGTGCTATAATCATTACCCCAACCCGTGAGCTTGCTATACAGATTGAGGAGGTGCTGTCACATTTCACAAAACATTTTCCTCAATTCAGGTAAGACTTTTATTTCTCATACATCTCTTCTTTATAATTGCCCTGGAATAAAAGTTGTGTTTCAATTGTTTTCAGAAAATATTATCACCATAGCCTTTAAAAAAAAAAGCCCAAAAACTTATGTATAACCACAACTTGCACAGCTATGCAAACAGCTCTTCCCTGAGAAAATGTAATTTATTCAATGTTTCTTTTCAGCCAGATCCTCCTCATTGGGGGTAGTAATCCAGTTGAAGATGTAAAGAAACTGAAAGAACATGGGTATGTGATTTATAGTATGTATGATAAAAAATATAAAAAAAATACAATGTTTAAATTGTTTTGCCATTTATCAGTATTGCCAAAAGTATTGTGTAAACCTGAACAATTTTTGCCAGAAATGCCCCAGTTACTGTTTACAGTCAGAGTTAACGAGGACAAATCTAATTGGTGGCTGATGGTGGCACATTATTATTAAGTTTAAAGACATTATCAATTAATGAGTTAGGAGTTATGGTTTTTATGTCTGCTGTATCAAGAACTAATTCACCTATCAGTTCTTAATTTTCCTGAATGTTACAGGAGTATATTTACTTATTGTAACCTGAATTATCTGATTTTTACTTTGACCAGTGGAAACATCATTGTGGCTACACCTGGTAGGTTAGAAGACATGTTCCGTCGACAGGCCGAAGGGCTGGATTTGGTCAGCAGTGTCAAGACCCTGGATGTTCTTATTTTGGATGAGGCTGACAGACTTCTGGATATGGGGTTTGAAGCCAGGTGATTTATAATGTGTTCCATGTCCATTTTATCAGTAAAATCACTTTAAATTGTTCTTGTGCTTTATCTCCATATATCCCCACATTGACTTTCCATTTCATTTTAGTCTAAACACTATATTGGACTACCTACCAAAGCAAAGGAGAACAGGACTTTTCTCAGCTACACAAACCCAGGAAGTTGAGAATCTTGTACGAGCTGGATTGCGCAATCCTGTTCGAATCGCTGTAAAGGAGAAAGGGGTGGCAGCCACTTGCACGCAGAAAACACCAACCAGGCTACAAAATTACTACATGGTAAACTGTAAAAATGTATCAACCTAAAATATGGATTTTTCTTACATTCTTAGGGCAAAATGTTATAGTCTTTGATGTCTGAACAGGAGCTATAGGTGAAATGGTCATATACTAATAGACTGCACTGACCAAGACTGCCGTCATATGACCATGCTTTCTTTTTTTTCTTTCCCTTAAAGGATAGCTTCACCTTTTAACAAAATATAATAAACACATTTTTTTGTTGGTAAAAAAATGTGCATTTATTATTTTTTGTTTCTTGGGCCTCTAAAGCATTGCACCAGTGATCGGTAGATCGCTGGTGCCATGCAGGTCTCCTGCAGACCTGTCAGTATACCTGTGTGCCCATACATCGCTTACTCACAGGAATACTCAATGAATTACCATGGTTCTCCACAGCACTGTGGTAGTTCATTGAGAACTACAAGTCAACAGCCGCAAAGGCTGTAGGGACTTGTAGTTTTCCATTTCAGAGAATACTGTGAATGACTGACGTGGAGCCCTGCATCTCCATGTTTTTTTTAAATTGTGACAGCTAGTTGGGGGGAGGAGATCCCCCACTAGTTTGTCACAACGGGGAGCGGGAGCCAGTCCGTTCATTACTTGTTACACGCTAAACATGGGTGTACCATGTTATGAAAGGTGAACTTATACTTTAAATCTTGATCAGATTCAGGCAGCAATTCGGAGTTTTGTTAACGTCATGTAGGGAAACAATATCAACAGGTAAGGGGTGCATTAAGACGGCCATTAAGGCTTGGTTCACACTAGTGCTGTTTTGCGGGCTGCGGCATGGCATCCCAATTATTTTAATGGGCTGTCGTGCCTTGCAAAACGCATGGAAAAGGTCCTTGCACCTTTCCAGAAATCACAGTATAGTGCAATTTCCAGGTGGGTGGCGTAAGATTAATGGCAGCAGCCCAGGGGTCCCACAATTTGTGTGTGGGTGTTTGCAGCTGCAGGATAAAGTGCGTGTCCCGCACCGGCCACCACCTGCACTAGTGTGAACCAAGCGTAAAATTGGACATGGTTTAATACAAATATGCCTCATAGGAATTAAGGTCATTACTTGAATTCTTTGTGTGCCTGTAAGACCAGATAATTTATCTTCTGTTTTAAAACTGAATGAGGTCAGCATAAAGCATGCGATTATTGTTTTAAGCTTGATTTTTATTCCAAATACCTTTTTGTGTTGAACAGATTTGTAAAGCAAATGAAAAGTTTAATTATCTTGTGAGTTTTCTACGCCAGAGGAAACAAGAGAAGCATTTAGTATTTTTCAGGTAAGCACTAATACACTGTAATGCTTTATAGAACTTAGTCTGTAAGTCCTCTGCTTATCAGTATTTTTTTCTTCACTGTACTTTAGTACCTGTGCTTGTGTGGAGTATTATGGGAAAGCTCTGGAAGCATTTATAAAGAATGTCAAAGTTATGAGCATTCACGGCAAGATGAAACATAAACGAAATAAGATCTTCACAGAGTTCCGAAAGTTAGAAAGGTAAGGATTATTATGTAAAGGACAGAATTCTAGGAATAATATTTTTATTATATATGTCTGAGAAGTATGACTCTAGTGACTGATCATATGTCTTGTTTCAGTGGTATATTGGTGTGTACAGATGTAATGGCAAGAGGTATTGACATTCCAGAAGTAAACTGGGTTATACAATATGATCCTCCTAGCAGTGCCAGGTATGTTTTTATGCTTAGTGAAACAGAACTTCCACATATTTCTTGCGATTATCTGAGAGGTCAGTTTTTACCCTCTGAATGCTGATGGGAGTATTTGAATCCTAGTATGCGTTTTATATATTTTTTAATTGTTTAACCACTTGCCGACCACAGATAGCCGAATGATGGCTTCACTGCTGCTGACCAGGGAGGGCGTCACCCGGTGATCGCTGTGTCCTATGGACACAGCTGATCACGTGATATGGTAAAAGGCCAATCACAGCGCAGTTGTCAGAAGAGGGATCGGCACTGACGTGGTTCTGTGGCTTACGTATGTATTTGCAAATGTGTGCTAACTAAACCCGTTTTTTAACGCATACTGTTAGGTTAATTCGGTTGTTGGTAAGCTGGCTGGCAAGTTGACCAGGAACTTTCTTTTCTCTCTTTTTTTCTTTTGATAGCCATCGCCTGTTTATTTGTTCTTGCTACAGAGGCCAGTTATAGACTGAGGCAGTGGCCATTTTTTATACCACTTATGATCAGTGCCCAGCAGTGCCATCCACCTGTGCCCAGCAGTGCCACCCAGCATTGCCACCATCAGTGCTGCCTAAGCCTCAACGCACATCAGTGAAGGAGAAAAATGACCTGTTAGCTAAATTTTATAATAAAAACAAAAAAAAATTTTTTTTTACATTTTTTGCTCTTTTTTTTGTTTATAGTGCAAAAAATAAAACACCCAGCGGCGAGTAAATACCACCTAAAGAAAGCTCTATTTGTGTGAAAAAAATTATAAAAATTTCATATGGGTACAGTGTTACATGACCACGCAATTGTCATTCAAAGTGCGACAGCGCTGAAAGCTGATAATTGGCCTGGTAAGGAAGGGGGTATAAGTGCACAGTAGGCAAGTGGTTAAGGGCTAAGTTCACCTTTAGGAACATGTTGCATGTCGCACCCATATTTAGGGTATTGCATGTAACATGTTCGTAATCACCCACTCCCCCATGAGTGCAATGCTTTGCAGGCTTCTGTGGGAAAAAAATAACATATACCTTTTTTTTCCCTTCAAAAATGAGTGCATTTATTATTTTTTTTTAAATAAAGGTGAACTTAGCCTTTAAAAGTCACAGAATAACATTTGCAGTCTCTGGCAGGAAACAATGGTAACTTTAGTTATTATACACTTTGATAGCTGCAGTTAGTCCCAATCATCATTAATGTGAATTAATAAGAATCCTAATTACGCAAATTAAGGCTGTAAATCCAAAAACGTTTTTAGAATGTTAAAGCAAAGCAAATGCATACTTTACTTTTTAATTTAAATAAAAATTGCCTTTCCAAACAGGCTCCTTTTGGGGAATGAAATGTACTTCCTATTAGGTGTATGAGTGTCAGTTTTCTGTTGTGGGTCTCTTATTTTTACTTCTTGCCAATGTCAGTCTTTGCTTCCAGTGCCTTTGTACATCGTTGTGGACGCACAGCACGAATTGGTCATCATGGCAGTGCACTTGTGTTTTTTGCTTCCTATGGAAGAGTCCTATGTCAGTTTTCTGTCTATTAATCAAAAGGTGAGTTCTTCCTACAAAACCATTTTATGTTAAAGTATCACACACAATGTTGTATCAATAACACTCCTCATTTAATTATATTGGGTGTAGTTAGGCAATTTTTTGTCCTTTGAATCCATACTAGCATAGAGCACATCAGAGCCCTCTTATAGCTGAAGCTATACATGTCTCACTCCATCACAAATCTAAAAAATAAGGGGTCTATTCTCCATTTTAGGGTGGTGGACAAAGCCATGTGAATCAGTCAGCTATCTTATTTATAAATTTTGTATTTAGTGTAGTGGTGCACCGAAATGAAAATTCGGTTACTGAAACCGAAAATTCAAAATGCACTTGGCTGAAAACCGAAATGCGCAGTTTTTAAATATTTAATATATATTTTTTGGAAAAAAAAAAAACACTTTGATTAAAAAAAAAAAATAAATAAAATATATATATATATATATATATATATATATATATATATATATATATATATATATATATATATATACCCCAATTGTTTTGTAAAATATGTAAGAGGATGTTACAGTGAGTAAATAGATACCCAACATGTCACGCTTTAAAATTGCGCAGGCTCGTGGAATGGCGTGGAACTGTGGTACTTAACCATTTGCTGCCCGGCCTATAGCTGTTTGGCGGCAGCAAAAATGCATTACCTTTCCGGGGTGTATGCCATTTGGCGTCCTCCCGCACATGCGCAGATCGCGCTCCTGCGCGATCTGTCAACGGCCGTATACCTCGGACACGGCCGATGACAGATCTGAGTACCGGCCCCTGTTGACAGTACCATGTGACCTGCTGTGACCAATCACAGCTGGTCACATGACAGTTGTATACAATGGATGGCTTCATTTATGCCATCCATTGTATACTAGTGTCTAGCTGCGAATGGTCACAGCAGGTCACATACACATGTCATGTGATTAGCTGTGGCCAAATCACAGCTAAGCACAAAAAAAAAACCCTGCTGCTGTCTCAGTCAATGATTAGAGGGAGTCCCGGGGGACAGCCGAAGCTCTCATGTACATCACTGGATTTAGAGGGAGCTCAGGTAAGTGTGAGGGGAAGCAGCACATAGGTTTTTTACCTTCATGCATGAAGGTAAAAACCTTCTGTCTTTTAGAACCACTTTAAGTCTTGCTTGAGAATAGTAATATACATTGTAACAATTTTAGATTCATGTGTAATGTTCTGTATCGGTTTCCTTTGTCCGTTATCACCTCCAAACTACTTCTTGTGACATGATCTCTGTTGCAGACTGATATTTATCAGTTGCTGTCATTATTGCCACTAACATCTTTGTTCTCTTATGATTCACAGTGCCCGCTGCAGGAAATGGCAGAACTAAACTGCACAGTTGACCATCTGCCAAAACTTAGGTCCATGGCACAGGGTGATCGGGCAATGTTCGAGAAAGGCATGAAAGCTTTTGTGTCTTATGTGCAAGCCTATGCTAAACATGAATGCAACTTAATATTCAGAGTGAAAGGTACTCAAATTATTCATTCCCTTTAAGCAAGGACAGAATTTAAAGTAGATATGGATGTCACAGACAAGAACAAAAATTACAGAGCTAATAATACTGGAAATGTAATCTTTCCTCTTCATTACTGTTAACAGATTAATTGAATCATTCTTTACACTTTTAGACTGGTTGAATGCCACCCAATTTTTTTTACTGTAATGCAATCAGTTGATTAGCATCTCCCAAGCCACAAAATTTGTGATTGCATCCATCCCTAAACCATTGTGGCAAACAGAGCTAGGCTTTTTGACATGCCATTTCTCACTTGTCTTAATGGGTCCTTAATGCATTCCTAAGGAGTATCAGGAGTATCCCCCTAAGGGCTCATCTACAAATGTTTCTAGGTGCTTAACAGTGTTAAAAAAGCCAAGCTCAGGCTGCTGGAACTGGTATTCTGCTTCTTTGAGATGTGCCATTAAGGTCTTTGGCACTATGAAATATTGGTTTATCTCTAAGCATGGGGACAGCATGCGGTTAAAGCAGATATGGCATATTAGCATCCTTATAAATGGTTATAATAGTTTGCCCACAGCCACTGGCCAAGGTTTTAAAAGATATTGACAACTGTCATGTGTTTGGGGATGCCTACTTTAACCTATCTGATTCCAACTGTTATGTTCTATGTGTGTATATATGATTTTGGAATTTTTTGTCTTCATAGATTTGGACTTCTCAGCTCTTGCACGTGGCTTCGCTCTGCTGAAAATGCCTCGCATGCCAGAATTGAGAGGAAAGAACTTCTCAGACTTTGTTCCCAGTTCTATCGATACAAACTCTATCCCTTATAGAGATAAAAACCGAGAAAAGCAGAGACAAAAAATGATGCAGGAGAGGAAGGAGAAGCAGGATGAAGATGGCGGAAGGAAAAATTTTGCCAAGAACAAAGCCTGGTCCAAACAGAAATTACGCAAAGCTAAAAAGAAGAAAAAATGGCTCTTAAGAGGAAACATGAAGAGGTAAATTGATCAGATTTGTTTTGTAATTTTGCACACAATCACTATTCTCTTTGTTGCAAGATTTGTGAAAAAATACACCCTGTGCTGCAAGTGATCCCCAGACTTTTACACTAGAAGCAACCCTTTGTGGAGGTAAACAGTACTCTGGTAACAGTTTACCATCATCAGGGTAAGCGCTGTAAATTAGAAGAAGAGTCTGCTTCTATAGATTCCAGTAGCTGGAGAAGATAGGTTAGTGACTGGATATTGGGGGTTTTGTTTTTGAACAGCAGAGAGACTCCTTTCAATGATCGACTAACATGCAGTGTATGACTGTTTTGTATTTTTATATAGAACAGATTGAAACTATATGTACACAATGCACTTTACTTAAAGCTACATTGTCACTACAATAAAAAAAATATCAAGCTCTGAATATACCTGTCTGTGGTGACATTGTGTGTTGCAGACGTTTTTGCTAAAATCATAGTGTTATTGCTAAGATTTGTGACTTTCCTCCTTGTTAAAAGGCGGTGGTGGCAGTTTAAAGGGTTAATTGCGTAATTAACTTAACCCAGTGACAATCGCTATCAGGCTACTGGCATCTACATTGTTGGTCCGGCGAGCTGGAAAATCTCTGTGCATGATGCAGCTGAGCGGTGGTATTGTTACGCAAGTGACAGTGCGGTGTGAGATTGGCTGGTCCTTTGTTAGGAGTTGGTGAGAAGGGACAGGGGTCGGGCACTGCGTTCGTCACAGCATGCACTGTTGTTCTCCCTGCTGGCCTCTGTGTTACTACTGGACACAGCAGTGATTATAGGGGCCAGTGGATGGAACAGTTTGTAGTGGTGGACCAGGCACCCAACATGGTTCAGGAAGGAGGTCTTTCAGCTGCCGTAGCTGTTTAGGTGGCTAAAGATAAATCTTGCCCCAGAACTATGAATTATACCTCTTCATTTTCAGAGTGCTTTCTTTGTGCAATAGCTGTGTTGCATACAAATATGTACATTTGATTTGTAATTATTTTTTTCATAGCACATTACTTTGAATGTGACAGGAAACTTTAACATTCATTCGTCATTAGCTACTTCAGTACTGCAAGGGGTGTGGGACTGTCCAAAGTATGTGAGCACTGCTTTGTTTTCACTGTTTGCTTTGTATTGTAGGGCTCTGATATAGATGATGAGGATGTGGATGAGCTGCTTCATGATACCAGGTTGCTGAAAAAGTTGAAGAAGGGAAAAATTACTGAGGAAGAATTTGAGAAGCAGCTAACATCAACTGCAGGAGCCAAGGGTGAATCTGACATCTCGGACTGAACATAAATAATCTCTTTTAAGCTTTTAAAACTCTGTACAGATTTTTTTTTTTTTTTTTTTTTTTTTAGAGTAAAGTTCCTTTTGCTGATAGACATATTTGTACTGCATTTTAAAACTGTAAATTAATTTATTATAGAAAAACTAAGTTGTTCCTGTTTGTGATGCAAAGCATTACATTTCACAATCATGCATAAAATGTGTTTTAAGGGCTGGTTAACACCGGGATTGCACAGGAAAGTGTTGTGCGTTTTGACAGCCCATTCATACTGGACGGCGGAAAAAAAAATAATGTACCAAATCACATGGTATTGCAGTAAGATGAAATTCGGTGCTCGCAAATGCACGGTATTTGCGATCTGTGTTTGGGTACCATTAAAAATACATTGGCACCCACATGCAGAAAGCAAGGCCAGCACATTTACCTGCAGTGCGAGAAACGTACACAAAATTCACCTTTCCTGCACCATGTTCTGCTGTGAACCAGCCCTAGAGCAAACCTGTACTTGGAGATCTATGTGTGAAAACATTTGTGACTGTGATGTGGTAGTTGCCTGCCTGGCTCTGGGGTTTTTGCTGCTTGAGCCACTGACTTAGAGCAATCAGGTGGCAGATTAAATCCACTCTGGATCTGCAAATTTGTTCTGGGTCTCTGACCCAAATATTATTGAAGCCTCTGGATCAGCATGACTAAATTTTTAATGCGTTTTCTGCCACTGATGTATGCTTATGGACAATTTTGGGCACCGACGTTTGTTGCCAATCGTGAACTATGTTAAGATTTGACATGTTGGGTAACTTTTTACTTGACACCTCATCTTCTATATATATGACCAAAAAATGTACTAATACATGTGGTGTTGTTTTTTATCCTAAACTTAACTCTAGTGTATTTTTGTACTGAAAATATGCTGTTGATAAACAGTTATTTTATTCTCAAAGGAGTTTTAACTTCTACCTAAAATCACATTTTAACACGTGGAAAAAAAAAAAAAATACCAGAAATCTATAAGGCTGTTTCACACTGATTCGACGCAAAAAGACATAGGTGTTTTTATAGCGCTTTGAGCGTTTTTTTTAAAGAACATGTGACTTAAAAAACTACACCAAAAAGGCTTCTCAGAGGTTCTTTCCATTTATTTCAATGGGAAGAGGCGGTGCTTTTTTTTTTTTTGTTTTGTTTAACTCACCAAGCATGCCTCCAAAGATGCTGCAAGCAGGAGTTTTTGCCCCGCACTGCAAGCACAACGCCTCAGTGTGAAAACATATATAGATATACATTCACATACACAGGGAAGCATTTTTCTTGAGCTTTTCAGGTGCTTCTTTTTAAACACAAAAGCGCTTCAAAAACTCCTCAGTGTGAAAGTAACCTAACTGATAGCCATACTATTTGTGGTTTGATATCCCAGCTTTTTATTTTCCCTCCAAACATCAAGTTCCATCTGCAAGTTTCTAGAGCAGGTTTTTGTCCAATTGGACCTTAAGGCTACTTTCACACTGAGGATTTTTTGAAGCATTTTTGCATTTAAGAAAAGCTCAAGAAAAATGCTTCCCTATGTTTATGTATGTTTTCACACTGGGGCTTTGCGCTTCCATGGCGGTGTAAAAATGCCTGCTTGCAGCATTTTCGGAACGTTTTGTTCAGTTAAAGAAAAAACCTCTTCTCATTGAAAATCAATGGAAAGCGCCTAAAAAACACCTCTGAGAAGCATTTTGGTGCAGTTTTTAAGTCACATGTACTTTTAGAAAGCACGGTAAAAACGCTGTGTTTTTGCGGTGGATCAAATGGCGGTATATAGGCTGGAATTTATTTTTTTTTATACTAGTAATGGCGGCGATCAGTGAATTATAGCGGGATTGCAGTGGGTATTCTGACACTGGGTGGGAACTAACTGCCACCCCAATGACACTAATACACTGATCAGTGCTAATAAAAAGCAGACACTGTACTAATGGCACTGGGCAGGAAGGGGTTAACATCTGGGGTGATCAAAGGGTTAACTTTGTGCTGTATAACAATGTGCTGTGTGTTTTACCACGGAGACATGCTGCTGTGTATTTCTCTGCTGTGCCGAGAAATACACAGCAGCATGTCCTTGCTGGCAGGAGAGAGACCTGTGTTTACATCCAGGTCTCTCCCGTTAGTGTTACTTGGCGACTTGCCGGGTGCCGGCAGGGAATCTCTGGTCGTGACCCGGTGATTTGACATCTGTAGCCACCAATGGTGGCGTGCGGCATACACGCCCCCTACCCAGAAATGCAAATCATGTATATATGTACACATGATTTTGCTCAGCCCTACAGCAGTAGTTCTACTATAGGGTGGCTGGCAAGCAGTTAATTCTCATTAGTGTTATTCAATAATTCAGCAAACATTTTTTTTTCTTTTTATTATCCATATTTAGTGTGTTGCTTGGCCTGTTAGCAGCAGCAAAATGTGTATTTTTATTAATTGTTAGGGGTTCACATATACAAATAATTGTTGGATCAATGTCACAGGAATTTTCTTAGCCCTCACAAGTTCTGACCATATTTTATCTAAAATGTTGATGTCCTGTGATTGTCAGCTTCATCTTGTCCCCATATATATGTAATTTCCTGAAATTCTTAAAACAGGTAAATTATGGCCACTAGATGGTACTGACATCAAAGGAAATCAATGCAAAATACGGCCAAAGTTCATAAGGGCTACACAAAAGCATTCCAATTTTTAAACATAGACCCCTTTGTGTTAATACAGCAGTAAAGTACCATTCCTCTTCTTGACTACAATGATTTAGTAACATTCTTAGCCTACCATCAATGGCAAAATAGGCTGACCTTTTTCATTTATATTGCTTTGCGATTTACCACTTTGTTTGTTCTGAGGAAAGTTGTCACCAAGACAGAAAGTGAGGGGAAATCCCAAATTCTTTGTTCCTAGGACAGAGTAAATCTTCCAAAGGCCACACCTGTTCTGGGGAACTCTCTGTATGAGAAACTCCCCTCTGTGACAGTGGGAGGCCCTGCTACTGTGAAAATGGTTGCAGAAAGGACACCTGGTTCACACTTATGTAGAATATGCGACTCCAGAGTATCTGTTTTTACCTTATTTTTCTCCAGATATTGGTATTCCCGGATTGGGCTCCATAGATTGGAGATTTCAGTGTGCCTTGGAAAGGAAGAAAGCTCCAACCCAATATCCAGGTCTTGCTGAAGATCACCAGGGTGTGGGTCAAGGTGCACACAACCTTAATGATAGGCTTGGGCATAGCTCAATGATTACATTAGGAGATAGGTGTACTCCACCCAAAAGCCAGGAGGGCTTCAGACAGGTGCCAGGAGATCCCCTATTAAGAGATCAGCTAAAGCATGCACATGGTTTTTGAGCGTTTCATGAATACACGCAAATTGAGATTAAAGCCTAAATTATGACTTCGGTCAGGTTCTAGACCTGGCTGAAGTGTAGACTGCTGAGAAGCCCAGGCTATGCTGTTTGACAAGGATGCCTGGGTTATAAAACTAGGTGAACAGAGTAACAAATCATTTAGCAGGTAAAACTATTCACATTCCAACTGTACTTGGTTAACTGCCTGGAGGTCAACTTTCTTTTTTGAATCTGGACAGATTTACACAACATCCATATATATTTATAAAAATGACCAGAATTTTTTGTTTTAAATGTTTATTACAATATTATAAGTATAGTTTAATGAGTTCATCACTGATTGCAGAAGGGGTCAGGACTCCCAGGTCTGTGAAGAGCAGTGTAATTAGGGAAGGGGAGGTATAGTCTATCCAGGGGTGCTCTTTCATTAGGTCCTTTTTTTGCTGTTGTGTATCTGCTTTGTACTAGAGAAAAAAAAAAACATATTGGTACATTTTTATATGTTTTTCTCTTAAAATGCCAGTTAATTTTCAGATATTTAAAAGGACTATACCAAGAAAAAAAAGCAATAACATGCTATAGTAAAATACAGAAGACATCACTGGTCATATCACAAGCATGTCAGAATATGTCATAGTCTGGCATAAAATACAAACATTATAATCCTATACCCACAGTTGTCAGATCACCCCATCGATCACAGAACGTCTAGTATTTAGCATGTCCTTAGAGGAGAATCCTATGTGCTTAGATGCCCCAGAGAGCGTTTTGAATGTGGTCAGCATTTGCTTAGCTTATTGCATAATGTGTGCAACATGGTCTTGGCAGTCAACCTTCCATGTTCAGTATTCCCTGGCAATGTCGCTGTGTTTAAAAAGTCTGTCAAAAAAATATCCCATATGTTTAGAGTGCTGTTATCACTGTTCAGTGTATGATGATGTCCCTGGCAATATCCCAATGCGCTTCATGTCTATGGAAAAGTAATCTGCTCTGCCTTTCCCATGTTGTGGTCACAATGTCCCTTCTACATAGATTGGCAATGCTATGCTCATTTTATTCCTTGTTGGATACCTAATGTGCCCAGCATGTCCATGGCAGAGAATCCCATGTAGTCAGGACATCTCATTTTGTCTTTAGTAGGGTGCCAATTGTCCAAACATGTTCTTCATGCTCCTTATAACCATGGCAACATGGTGAGCTTGTTTCTGGAAGACTTTTCCTAGTCCTTGCAAAGGTGCCCAATATGTTTCTGGAAAAGTATTTCTCATGGTCCACCTATCTTTGGCAGTAATTCTTGCAACATTAGCCAACTATGCAGTATGTACAGTTAGGTCTATATATATATATATATTTGGACACAGGCACAATTTTAGTTTTTTTTCCCAGGTATTTACCTAAACATATTCAAGCTATAGTTATATAATGAATATGGGCTGAAAGTGCACACTCTCAGGTTTAATTTGAAGGTATATACAGTTGTGTTCAAAATAATAGCAGTGTGTTGAAAAAAGTGAATAAAGCTCAAAATCCTTCTAATAGCTTTTATTTCCATACACACAAATGCATTGGGAACACTACACATTCTATTCCAAATCAAAACATGAAGAAAAATATATCAAATTTGTGTTGTTCCTCTAAAAAAAAAAAATGAAGAAAAGTGAATATTAGACTGTTCAAAAAAAAAATAGCAGTTTGTGTATTCTTCTTTACAAACATTCACTATATAAACTGAAAAATGTTTGAAGATTTTGCTTTCCTTTGAATCACTTAATGAATATTTAGTTGTATAAGCACTGTTTCTGAGAACTGCTGTACATCTGTGTTGCATGGAGTCAACCAACTTCTGGCACCTGTGAACAGGTATTCCAGCCCAGGATGATTGGACTACATTCCACAGTTCTTCTCTATTTCTTGGTTTTGCCTCAGAAACTGCATTTTTGATGTCACCCCACAAGTTTTCTATTGGATTAAGATCCGGGGATTGGACTGGCCACTCCATAACATCAATCTTGTTGGTCTGGAACCAAGATGTTGCATGTTTACTGGTGTGTTTGGGGTCGTTGTCTTGTTGGAACACCCATTTCAAGGGCATTTCCTCTTCAGCATAAGGCAGCATGACCTCTTCAAGTATTCTGATGTATTCAAACTGATCCATGATTCCTGGTATGCGATAAATAGGCCCAACAGCGTAGTATGACAAACATCCCCATATCATGATGCTTGCGCAACCATGCTTCACTGCCATTTTAAAGCATTTGCGATCATTTTAGCTGAGCAGCCTATCATTTTCTGCACTTCTTTATATGTTTTCCCCTCTCCAATCAACTTTTTAATCAAGGTTCGCTGTTCTTCTGAACAATGTCTGGAACGACCCGTTTTCTTCAGAATTTCAGAGAGAAATGCACTGTAACCAGCATGTACATTTGCTGCCTTCCTTCCTTAAATAATGGCAATAATTGCCACCTGTTTTTCAAAGAATGAATGACCCCACTAATAGAACTCCACACTGCTATTATTTTGAACATGCCCCTTTCAATTAGTGATTCAATTACACAGAAGCAGCAGCATGCATGTCATGACTGTTGGATTTCTATTACTCTACTACACCTGCTAGTAAAGTATTTGCCATGTAGAAATATCATTTCTAGCAAAAACAGTGATTGATCAGGTTAGTGATGTTTGACTGCTGTTATTTTGAACACAACTGTACATCACATTGGAGGAAGGGTTTAGGAATTACAACTCTTAAGGGTAACCATCCCCCCTTTTTCAAGGGACCAAAAGTAATTGGAGAATTGAATCAAAAGCTGTTTCATGGCCAGGTGTGGGCTACTCCATCATTTATTCATCAATTAAGCAGGTAAAAGCTTTGGAGTTGATTCTAAGTGTGGTATTTGCATTTGGAATCTATCGCTGTGAACCTACATCACGCGTTCAAAGGAGATGTCCATGCAACAGGCCATTGTAAGGCTTCAAAAATGAAACAAATCCATCAGAGAGATAGCAGTGACATTAGGAGTGGCCAAATCAACAGTTTGGTACATTCTGAGGAAAGAAGCACGCACTGGTGAACTCGGCAACATATACAGGCATGGATGTCCATGGAAGACAACAGAGGTGGATGATTGCAGGATCCTCTCTGTGGTAAAGAAAACCCATTCACAACATCCATTTTTCAGGGGTTCCTTGGCAGCATGCCTAATATTTTCCCAAAAATTATATACAAGCCAGCAGATGGACCAAGCCTGCCTGTTAGTTACACAAAGCTACAGATTTTCATTGGGCACCATTACAACCTTCCAGCTGCCAGTGTCCTAACAACTAATGATGTCATCATTTGATGAGGATGTCAAGCCACTGTACAGCATCCTTGTTTGCCCCTGTCCACCAACACTGGGGTCACATTAGATGAGTGAGGGAGAAGAGAGACACGGAAGTACGAGTTGGTACCAGTGTGCAAAGTGTGTTTGCTTTGGAAGAATAAATCACTTCTAAATGTTGAGTGTCCTACATGTGTGGAGGTAGCTACGTTATGTAAAACTATTAGTTTAGTTTTTTTTTTACATTTTACAATGGGGTACCCCGAGATTGTGCAGAATTTTAAAGGATGCCTTGACTGCAAAAAGGTTGAGAAACACTGATCTAGAGACATCTGGCACTTACATAAAGTCTTGTGGATGTTACTTATAGGTACTACACTGGAATGCTCATTTTAATGCAAACACTTACAGATGGATACAGGAAGGGAGTAAAAGTCCGCAGTTCTAGAATACCATTATGATGTTTATTTTTATATATTTGTAAGACGGTTTCCCTTTAGGATGTGGTGCTCCTTTTATCGGAGAGGAGTGATTGCTATAGAGCTACCAATTGTTCAACCTTATATTATGGACAGGTTCTTTGTCCCTGGGCAGACTTGCCGTTATATAAGAGCAGTGAATTTTCACCTCTCTTCACTTACATGTCCTCTAGATTCTGTGGATATAAAAAGTCTACACACCCCTGTTAAAATGTCAGGTTTCTGTGATGTAAACAAAAAAATGAGACAAAGATAAATCATTTCAGAACTTTTTCCACCTTTAATGTGACCTATAAACTGTACAATTTGATTGAAAAACAAACTGAAATCTTTTTTTTGGGGGGTGGGGAGTAAACATACAAAAACTACAATAATGTGGTTGCATAAGTGTGCACACCCTCTTATAACTGGGGATGTAGCTGTGTTCAGAAGCAATCACATTCAAAATCATGTTAAATAGGAGTCAGTACACACCTGCCATCATTTAAAGTGCCTCTGATCAATCCCAAATAAAGTTCAGCTATTCTAGTAGGTCTTTCCTGACATTTTCTTAGTCACATCCTACAGCAAAAGCCATGGTCTGCAGAGAGCTTCCAAAGCATCAGAGGGACCTCATTCTTAAAAGGTATCAGTCAGGAGAAGGGTACAAAAGAATTTCCAAGCCATTAGATTTACCATTGAACACAGTGAAGACAGTCATCATCAAGTAGAGAAAATATGGTGCAACAGTGACATTACCAAGAACTGAATGTCTCTCCAAAATTGATGAAAAGACGAGAAGAAAACTGGTTCAGGAGGCTGTCAAGAGGCCTACAGCAACATTAAAGAAGCTGCAGGAATATCTGGCAAGTACTGGCTGTGTGGTACATGTGACAACAATCTCCCGTATTCTTCATTTGTCTGGGCTATGGGGTACAGTGACAAGACGGAAGCCTTTTCTTACGAAGAAAAACATCCAAACCCAGCTATATTTTGCAAAAACACATCTGAAGTCTCCCAAAAGCATGTGGGAAAATGTGTTCTGGTCTGATGAAACTAAGGTTGCACTTTTTTGGCCATAAATTCCAAAAGATATGTTTGGTGCAAAAACAGCACTGCACATCACCAAAAGAACATCATACCCACAGCAAAGCATGGTGGTGGCAGCATCATGCTTTGGGGCTGTTTTTCTTCAGGTGTAACTGGGGCCTTAGTCAAGGTAGAGGGATATATGAACCGTTCCAACTGTCAATATTGGCACAAAACCTTCATGCTTCTGCTAGAAAGCTGAACATGAAGAGGATCAAAAGCGTACGTCCAAGTCAACATAGAAATGTCTTCACCAGAAGAAGATTAAAGTTTTGGAATGGCCCAGCCAGAGCCCAGACTTGAATCCAATTGAAAATCTGTATGGTGATCTGAAGAGGGCTGTGCACAGGAGATGCCCTCGCAATCTCACAGATTTGGAGTGTTTTTGCAAGGAAGAGTGGGCAAATATTGCCAAGTCAAGATGCGCCATGCTGATAGACTCATACCCAAAAAGACTGAGTGCTGGAATCAAATCAAAAGGTGCTTCAACAACGTATTAGTTTAAGGGTGTGCACACTTATTGTGATGACTTTTGGACTGTTTATTAAGAAAAATGATATTATCCCAACATAGGAAATTCTAAGCTGACTGTCATGGGTTAACATCCTTGGTTAATTTCAAGTGACCTTCCACGAAGCTACCATAAGCAATGAGTGGGAGAGATTTGTTTAAGATACAATGAGGTTAAAACACCACTATTTGAATTTCTGCAGGTGATCAAACACAGTACCAAAGTTTGACAATCATGGGACTAAATCCTTATTGTCTTGTGTTCTCCCAAAACCTTTCGAAGGTGTGTGATCACCAAACAAAACCTCTGAACTGTCACAATCAGCTATTGAATCCAGTTAAAATCCAGTCCAATCTGTTTACCCAAATTACCCAACAATGGATGAAGCTTTCTATGTCACATCTCCTTGAACTGTACATTCAGCATAAGGTGAAACCTGGGTCATTTAAGACAAAGAGCTTGGTATACCTAAACAGAATTATCATCAAAAGGTATGTACCCACACACCAAAATCTATTCAAAGTTGGGTACTGCCTACCACTCAACTGAAGATCATGAAGTTAAAAATACAAGATGGTTTGTGAGTTGGGTAATTTCTATATTTCCAAAGGAAATCAGCCATCCCAATACAGTTCATAGCAGGAAAATGAGAAACCAAATATATTCACATATCATATATTTTTATGGTCCTTATTCAAGAGTTAGTGGGGAGATCATTTATACCTGAATAGGACCCATATTTTATCCATAAAGACATACTGTTTATATAAAAAAGGGCGAGTCATCATTAAAGACCACCAGTTCATTTGTGATACCTGACTGTCCCTGGTGGACAGGTAAGGAACTTCTCTAGGTACGCAAACTTCTCAACCGTCCAATCAACAAGCCTGTTGGGAGGTCCTTCGGAACAAAGGACTTGTATGGTATAAAATGCCAAATACCTCAAATTGAAAGACAACTTCTGAAGACTTCTGACAACTGCTACTACTTCTGAAATCACTACTTGATCACTTCATCACTTCTGAGCTACTTCTGAAACAACTTCTTAACTACTCTACTACTACTATATACTGCACTATACTCACTTGCTACCTGTGGCCATTTTGCTGAGAACTTCCAGCTGCCACTTTATTTTTGAAGGCCATTTGAAGGAAAAGATTTTTGCCAGAGATGCTGATGATCATTTAAATTCTGGTGCCTGACTGCCCAGAAACATTTCTTTTCCCAATTGCATTCCACTGGGAGGCCTCAAAATTGAGATTCTGGGAGTGGTGAGACTGGGCCAAAATACTGTAATTTTCTTTGATATTTGAAACTTAAGATTTATAACCTTTTATTGTGTGGTTAGGAATGTATTAAGGTTATCTGTATAATTATAACTATAACTTTTTGAGGACTGGTACTGAGGTTATATACTGCATACTAACTGATTGGTAGTGTTTTTGTGGTGCTAATGATCAGAGATACTTTCTTATTTCCCTACGGCCGCGGGAAAATTGGAAATAATATCTGAAGCACTATAGGTTGCAACTAACCTCTAAAAATTTTGTTTTCCCTTATTTGATAACCATAACTTGTATGATACCGTAGATATTAGCGTACTATATCTTTGATTGTGTGTACGAATATATTCATCACCAGTATTTTGCGTTTGTATTAATATATATATAAATATTTGTACATAAATTTATTTATTTATCAAAAAGGCAAATTTTGTGTATAGGGTAATGAAATCATATTGGTGAAAAGAACTCTAGATATATTATTAAGTGGTGAACAAATTATTAAGGTGTCCAAATTATTGGTTTCTTAAATATTTGCAGTATTTTAAGGGCTGGAGGCACTGCAATATTTGATCAGGATCAGGACGTCGCCCTACGTACTTAGAATAAATTATTACATAAACCACCACATTATGCAACCATATTATTTTAGTTTTTTAATTTTATTTCCCTTCACCTAAAAGATTTCAGTTTGTGTTTCAATTGAGTTATACAGTTTATAGGTCACATTAAAAAGGTAGAAAAAGTTTTTAAATAATTTAACTTAGATTTTTTTACATCACAGAAACCTGACATTTTAACTGGGGTGTGTAGACTTTTTATATCCACATTACATTCTGACTGAAAATGCTTTCAAGTGATTAGTGTGAGAATGCACACTACACAGGACTCCTCAACTCCACCCCCCTACTACAACCAGAAATATTCATATATGGTTTGAGTATGCATTGAAAGGGGGTATATAATATTTGAAGTGTTTTATAAATGTGTATTTTTGTAGAATCTTTGCATAATTTACAGAATTTTTAAAAAAGTTTTATTATTGCTTGTCATCATAAGTCTATAGCAGTCTAGTCTGTAGCAGTCATATAGTTAGGTGTTTGCATATTTTTAGGTGCGAGTTCTATTTTTTCCAACAGACATAATATTTGTTTGTTTTTTAAGTCAACAAAAAGGGTGACCAAGTCCAACAAACTTTACCTATAAAATAGATGTCACTTTCTGGGGGACCAAGGCATTAATTGCTGAAAAAACTTCCTCTTACCTTAAATTTGTCTGGGACGTCAGTCTGATTTAGTGGAAACAAACGAACAAACTTGAAGCTTTCGGCTACCACGTAGAATGGTTTATTCTGAGCTTTTGCACACACTGCCATCTGATTTGTACCAATCTGTGTTATAAATGTATGAAAATGATGTATAGTTTGGCAGAAATTTTAAACAGTGTTCAGCTATTAATCTAGAAGTACTTAAATATGCCTCTTTTCTACTCAGCAGTATATTACTAATATAACATGTTTTGTCAGTTACAGAATAATGCAGATGACAACATATCCATACATACACTATATTGCCAAAAGTATTGTGACACCCCTCCAAATCATTGGATTCAGGTGTTCCAATCACCTCCATGGCCAAAAGTGTATAAAATCAAGCACCTAGGCATGCAGACTGCTTCTACAAACATTTGTGAAAGAATGGGTCGCTCTCAGGAGTTCAGTGAATTCAAGCGTTGTACCGTGATAGGTTGTTACCTGTGCAATAAGCCCATCTGTGAAATTTCCTTGTTACTAAATATTCCACGGACAACTGTATAATAAGAACTGTCAACTGTATTATAAGAAAGTGGAAGCAAATCGGGAACAGCAACTCAGCCACGAAGTGGTAGGCCACGTAAAATGACAGAGCGGAGTCAGCACACACAGTGCATAGAAGTCACCAACTGTCAATAGCTAAAGACCTCCATACTTCATGTGGCTTTCAGATTAGCAAAACAACAGTGCATAGAGAGCTTCATGGAATGGGTTTCCATGGCCAAGCAGCTGCATTCAAGCCTCACCTCACCAAGTGCAATGCAAAGCGTTGGGTACAGTGGTGTAAAGCATGCTGCCACTGAACTCTAGGGCAGTGGAGATGTGTTCTCTGGAGTGACCAATCACACTTCTCTGGCTGGCAATCCGATGGATGTGTCTGGGTTTGGCGGTTGCCAGGAGAATGGTACTTGCCTGACTACACTGTGCCCAGTATAAAGTTTGGTGGAGGGGGGGATTATGGTGTGTGGTTGTTTTTCAGGGGTTGGGCTTGGCCCCTTAGTTCCAGTGAAGGGAACTCTTAAGGCGTTAGCATACCAAGACATTCTGGACAATTTCTTGCTCTCAACTTTGTGGGAACAGTTTGGGGGATGGCCTCTTCCTGTTCCAACGTGACTGCGCACCAGTACACAAAGCAAGGTCCATAAGGACATGGATGAGCCAGTTTGGGGTGGAGGGGTGGAGCCAGGCCTTCTCGTCCGACATCAGTGCCTGACCTCACAAATGTGCTTCTGGAAGAATGGTCAAACATTCCCATAGACACCCTCCTAAACCTTCTGGTCAGCCTTCCCAGAAGAGTTGAAGCTGGTATAGCTGAAAAGGGTGGGCCAACTCAATATTGAACCCTACGGATTAGATTACTGGGATGCCATTAAAGTTCATGTGCATGTACAGGCAGGCATCCCAATTCTTTTGGCAATATAGTGTATATAACATTCTGTAAGTTCAAAACCCAAACTAAAGCTTCATCAATTATTGCAGTAGTGAGGTTAGGCTGCATAAACAGTAATAAAGAGGTTCTTTTTTATTTTTAGCAGTCATATTTGTTGCAGAAAGGGGTTGCTAGAGCGTCGGAGCACTGCTCAACACAAAGCACAGCGGTCTGGGTCTTAACATGCCCCTTGCCCCATGTTCGAATAAAAAAATGTTGCTCAGGAGAGTGTCTGACTATTTCCACCCTTGCTGCAGCCAATAGGAATGTTAAATATAAAAACACGCCCTTAATTAAAGCAGAAATCGTCACTGCATTGGTCAAATGTTCGTTTTATTCTAGGGGGGGAAGACACCAAAGATATACTCACCTGACCCCGCCGATCCTCCCCGCACAAAACCAGTCCTTTCGGCTCCTGCCCCCCCGTGTGGTCCAGCGGTCTTATAAAATAAATGGACTGTTCTTGACGTCAGCACACTCAGGTTGCGCTCTACAGATAGGACTGGTGCAATGCTGGACTGTGAGAGCGCAGTTTCCGTAGCATTAGCAGGTCAGGCGAGTATGAACTTAGTCCTCACCCATAGAAAAACTGAGCAGCCAATCCTTGCAGTGGGGGCACAGCACCACTGCATGGTAGAATTTTTTTTTTTTTTTTTTACTGGAGTTCTGCTTTAATATGGTTTATGCAGCTTGGCTGCATTATAGTAATATTTGCTTAAACCTTAAATGGGCTTTAAAAGTAATAATGAGGACTGAAGGTGTATTTCCCATACAAACAGATACAACATATTCCAGGTTTATTGAATTTAAAAAAAATAATGCCCCCATGTCAAATATATACATTATAATAATTTTCACAAACTTTAATCACACATCCTCTTTTCTGTAGATACTGAGATTTACTTAAACTTTACTCAAAATACAAAAGCACATAGTAGGACAAAAAACACAATATCTAAAAAAATCCAAGGAATGGTGTGAAAAGTCAACAAAAAGGCGCACAGAGACATGACAATACCCAAGCATGGTTACGAAGGTAGGTCAGAATGACAAAACAGTGGTGACATCTTCAACCGCTACAGATGAAGATGAAGGGTCTGTCTAACACATTTCAATGTCTGGAAAACTCAGGCATCTGCTGGCCAGATAAAGAGAACAGATGGGATGAATGCAATCCAAGGTCTACCTCCCAACAACTTCAGGAGCCAGCTGTTAATTGCACCCTGCCCACAGGCTTTGCAATAGCTGCAGGGTCTATGTACAGTCCAAATAAGAGACGTGCCCATCTCCTGGGGCAAGACCTGCTGAATAGGTTGATGAAAAGGTGTAATCAGTCCAAAAAAAAAACCAGGTTTTGTGAAACGGTTCCTCTATGTGGTTGGAAGAGGCAAGACTGTCCTCCATCTTATAAAATTTCTTCAGTTTTGCGTAACCAAAACATTCACTGGGGTAGGTTTAGACTGCTTCTAGTGCAGGGGAATGCAGGCTTTAGCTGTGTTACAGAAAGTGAAATTTTGACTCTAGCAGCTTTAAAGCCGCACCAATTTGTACCTGGCTAAAACTAACAACCCCAGTTGGAAGAGACCATTATCAGGCCAAACACAAGCTCTGGACTTCCCCTGTAGTTGGATGAAGGCTGGTTTTAGCTGGGATTATCAGCACCAGCTCTGCCAAGTACATAGAGAGATGGCAATGTCACATGAGCAATTTTTTGGGGGTTACAGAATCGCTCACGTTAGCATTTTTGTTGGTAGGGAAAAATAGACTTCATAAAAAAAAATGTCCATGTCAACGGGGATTCTATGAATTTTAGTCGCTGACTTTTTGAAACAGGGTTCACCAGCTAGTTACACTGCAGATGACCGTGGCACACTAGCAATTGGCAACTGCATACATAAATATTGTAGCCAGCTACAGAATTTGTAGTTCAGTCACTGACTATTTGAAGCATGCTGCAGGGTCACCAGCTTCAGTAGATGCACTGCAGATGACTGCTACACTAGCAGTTTGTAGCTGCATACAAAAATATTGTAGCCGGCTGCAGATAAAAAAAACCTCTCTGGCTTAACTACAAATGGCCAGAGAGCATAAAAACCAGAAAGATTTATAGCTACTGCAAATTGTCTGATGTAGCTGCAGTGTTTTCTTGGAAAGCACTAAAAAGTAAACTGTATATCTCCATACCTTATCTTGCTGACAAATCACTTTTATAAAACATCCAAGCATTTCTGGTAGTGGATAGCTTTAGTAAGGGCAGATGATTCATGTAGCATGTACGTCCTAGAACCCATCTGCCCTTAGGCCAGGCTTACAGGCAGGAGATGTGCTTAGCTGAGAAAGCCCCTCCAGATAAAAAAAAAAAAAAAAAACACAACATGCCATAAAAACTCCTGGGACCTCATTTTGCCCTAGCCCGGAAACCAAGAAGCAACTGGGGGGGGGAAGAAAAAAAAAAAAAGTAAATATAATATACCTTCCTACTTACTGTATTTTTGGCTCCATAAGACGCACTTTTCCCCCCCCCAAAAAAATGGGGGAAATGTCGGTGTGTCTTATGGTGCGGCTGGCTGGCCCAGTAGTCCCACCGCCACCGTGTTAGAATACCGGGCCAGCCACTTGGTTCTACTGTGCAGAAGAACCCGCTCCTCCATCCTACCTGTTCCTCTGTCCAGCGGTGTCCTGCTTTCACCGGCTGTCTTCTCTCCCTGGCGCCGGCATCTTCAGTGTGGGCAGCTTGTGGCTTCACAGCCGGGTGTCCACTGCGCAAGCGCGAGAAGCGCTGCACTTTGTGAATGGCCCCGTAGTCTTTTGGGACTTGTCACGTGTCCCACAAGACTACGGGGAGGGAGGGGGGAGGACAACTCAGCGGAAGTAGGAGCAGGTACCTGTCAAATTTGGGTACCCGCCCACCCCCTGCTCCCCAAAGGTCCGCAGTCTCTGGTCATCCCCTGCACCGTGTCCGCAGTCTCTGGTCATCCCCTGCACCGTGTCCGCAGTCTCTGGTCATCCCCTGCACCGTGTCCGCAGTCTCTGGTCATCCCCTGCACCGTGTCCGCAGTCTCTGGTCATCCCCTGCACCGTGTCCGCAGTCTCTGGTCATCCCCTGCACCGTGTCCGCAGTCTCTGGTCATCCCCTGCACCGTGTCCGCAGTCTCTGGTCCGCAGTCCCTGGTCATGCCCCTGCACCGTGTCCGCAGTCTCTGGTCATCCCCTGCACCGTGTCCGCAGTCTCTGGTCATCCCCTGCACCGTGTCCGCAGTCTCTGGTCATCCCCTGTACCGTGTCCGCAGTCTCTGGTCATCCCCTGTACCGTGTCCGCAGTCTCTGGTCATCCCCTGTACCGTGTCCGCAGTCTCTGGTCATCCCCTGTACCGTGTCCGCAGTCTCTGGTCATCCCCTGTACCGTGTCCGCAGTCTCTGGTCATCCCCTGTACCGTGTCCGCAGTCTCTGGTCATCCCCTGTACCGTGTCCGCAGTCCCTGGTCATCCCCTGTACCGTGTCCGCAGTCCCTGGTCATCTCCTGTACCGTGTCCGCAGTCCCTGGTCATCTCCTGTATCGTGTCCGCAGTCCCTGGTCATCTCTTGTATCGTGTCCGCAGTCCCTGGTCATCTCCTGTACCGTGTCTGCAGTCTCTGGTCATCTCCTGTACTATATCTGGAGTCCATTGGTTCAGAATATTTTTTTCTCTCTTGTTTCCCTCCTCTAAAATCTAGGTGCGTCTTATAGTCAGGTGCGACTTATGGAGCGAAAAATACAGTATTTACTAATGCTGGCAGCATAAGGATTCAAAATAATTCATGTTGATTCAAAGATCTTAGTTCTGCTTTAAAATTAACACTTCATAAATATGAAAGGTGTGACAAAGCTCAGGGAATTTTTTTTTACCTTGTTAATAATTCCTCCGCTCTCCACGACTCCTTCCGCTCCTACAATCACCAGGTCTACTTTTTCCATGATATAACTAGCGAAAACATAGTATGTAAGTGCTCAGTTCAAAAGTGTCAATTTATAAAAAATGTATACTGCATCTATGATCTGTCCCAAACTTACCCAATTGCAGCATCCAAAATCACTGTGACTGGGACATTAATATTCTGCAGAGCATCTGCCATCATTCTCCTGTAAGAGGAAAACTTTGATTACTAAAAATTACATTAAACATATGTAGGATTTCGGTGGTAGACAATTGGATTGTAGAAATATGGATCCTTTTTACAGAGCAATGAAACATATACCTCTTCTGACAAAAGAGAAGGACCAAACTGACAAATTTCCACATTGATCACGCTGTCGGTGTACATTGGTGTGCCATTCAAAAATCAATGGCAGTACAATGCTCATAGATCCGTGTGTCAATGTGCACTGCAGAAATGCATAATTTACGTCACATTATCTCAACATATAAATCCGGCCAAAGTATTTTCTCATTTTTAAAAGTCTGTCATCAAGGTTGGTTACATAAGTTGTTAAATAAAACACTATCATTAGAGATAAAACATAATTACCCTGAGAGGTCTGGCTGTGATTCTGTGACATAAACACTGAAGCGCTTGTTGGCAGCAGCAGCTTCTTCCAAAACCTTCAGGACCACCCTGGAGTATGCATGGGTCAGAATTTTCTACAAAAGGAGCAGAATTAAAATTATATATATTCTGTAAATTGTAGAAGTGTCACTTGCCAACAGTAACCAAATTTAAATCTTAAAATTGTGTGCACTCATTAAATGGCGACAGACTTTGGCACCCTATATTTTCCATAGGTGACACCCTGGTCCTCAGTTTATAGATAACTGTAAATAATGGGCCTAGAATTATTGCTCTCACTGTGACATGCACAGAAATATTTAATAGGTGAATCACATTTGTATTTGCATGTAGGTGCCCCCAATGCATGTATTTACATTTCCACATGTGTGTACTGTATGTGGGGGGTGGGGGCTCAAATTTTGGGGGATTTAAGTGCCTAAGTGTAACTTTAAAATTTTTTATTCCTTTTTGCATTTTTTCTTTTACTAAAAGGGATTTTTGTTTAGTGACAGGTTATCTTTAATGAGATCATGGGTCTAGACATGCCATCCTACGAAGCTAATGAAACACAGATCGAACTCTGTTAGCTTCTTTCTTCTCGGCCATAGCGTCTTGGAAAAGTGACATTTTACATGTAGCTTCCAGGTTATTAGCAGGAAGGGGAGATTGGCAAACAATAGAACTGGGATGTCCTATTACTAAAGAGGAGTAGAACAGCTCTTTACTCAAAAACTATGTCAAGTAAAGTTCAAGCAAAACAATTCAAAATTGTTGGTGGTATTTGACACTTTCTAGACTTAAATCTATATATCCTTCCCACTCAGATACTTGCCACGGATGTCTCTCAGCTTTTGGCACCAACCTTCATATTTGGTGGGACCTATGAGACACTTCTGGGACTATCATTAATCTATACAACTCTCTGTCAAGAACAGATAGTGAACTCCCCAAAGTAATGCTCCTCACTTTGCCCCCACAATCACTATCAGCAGGCAAGGGATCCATATTATATTTTGAAATATATATTTTTATTTTCATTCCTCACCAGAAGATCTCTAGGTTTTGGAATTCTTCCTGGGTTTTTGGTTGATGCTGACTGAGCCATCACTGACAAATTTTGTAATGGTTGGTCCGAATTGTGTATAAAAAGCTAACAATTTAAAGATTTATTCACCCACCTCTATGCTAAAGGCAATTACTGTCAATTCTAGGCCCCCATGTAGCCTGTTTTTTTTTCTCTCAATCTATTTCAAATTGCATGTTTTGGCTGCTACATTTCTGGATTGCCACAGAGATTTCTCCCCTCCTTTTTTCCCCATTTTTCTCCTCTTCCTACCGAATTACCCCTACTACTCTCCTCTTTACCCATTTGCTAACCCCTTGGAATCACAGTTTATCCAACTGTCTTGCCCTTTTTCCCCCCCCCCATCTCCTACTTTTACTTATATAGGAAATGGGAGGCTTTTTGTTTTTTTCAGTATGCTTGGTAACATCCTTTTTTCTTCCTTTTTTCTCAGTCCGCGATTGGTGGCTTTTGCTTTGACATGGCAACTTGCACATATGAGTTACTTTGTGGTCTATGCAGTTAAATATACTGTATGTATACTTCTGATACTACATTGCCTGTGACATGACTAAGATATAAATGTGCTTCCTCAATAATCAATTAGTCAAACTGAAAGAAAAGATACATTTTGCTTTTGATACTCAGAATATACAATATTGTTTTGTAAATAGCTGCAGGGGATATTAAAACAAAAATTACATTTAAAAACAAAAAAAACAAAACAAAACAAAAAAAAAAAACTTTAGTTGTAGAATCATGTAAGTCATGCCTACAAAAGATAGACAAGCTGAAAATACTATGTACTCCACACCTCTGTCATGGTACTTACAGCTCCATCTTTTATAAATGGACAGCAGAGTTTGGTGATTTTATCCCTGGACAGAGAGATTCTCTTTAGGAAGAGTTCCCCACGCTCACTCATCATTTGTTTGCATAAAGCATAAGTCTGAAGAGGAAAAATATTGTTATTATTATTATACAGGATTTATATAGCGCCAACAGTCTGCTCAGCACTTTACAATATAATGGGAGACAATACAGCAACAATACAGTTCAATACAAGAGGATAGGAGGTCCCTGCTCTTTGGAGCTTACTATCCAAGAGGGAAGGGCTAGTAGTATAAAAAGGTAATAACTGTGAGGAAGAACTGATGGGAGAAATAGAAGATTTGGTTATTAGCTGAAGGCACGATAGGCTTCCCGGTAGAGATAGGTTTTCAGAGATAGCCTAAAAGTGAGCAGAGTAGGCAATAGTTGGATAGACTGAGTTAGAGGGTTCCAGAGAATGGGGGAGGCTCTGGAGAAGTCCTGGAGACAAGCATGGGAGGAGGAGACAAAGGAGATAGAGAGCAGGAGGTTGTGGGAGGAGCGGAGAGTACGGTTTGGGTGATATTTGGAGACAAGATTGGTGATATAATTTGGGGCCGAGTTATAAATGGCTTTATATGTTATTGTTAATGTTTTGAATTTTATTCGTTGGGCAATGGGAAGCCAGTGTGGAGTGATTGGCAGAGAGGGATGGCAGACATGGAAGGGTTGGTAAGGTGGATGAGTCTGGCAGCAGCATTCATGATAGACTTAAGAGGGGACAGCCTGAGATGAGGTAGGCCAATGAGGAGGGAGTTACAATAGTCAAGGCGAGATATAACAAGGGAGTGAATAAGTTGGTTAGTGGTTTCCGAGGTTAGGAACGGGCTTATCTTGGAGATGTTGCGGAGGTGAAGACTACATGATTTGTACAGTGATTGAATTTGGGGCTGAAAGGACAGCTGGGAGTCCAGGATTACACCTAGTACCCTGACATGAAGGGAGGGACTGATGGTTTTATTATTGATCTTGACGGAGAAGTCAGGGGAGGGGGCATGGGCTGGAGGGAATATTATGAGCTCAGGTTTGGAAAGATTGAGTTTGAGGAAGTGGAGTGACATTCATGCCGATATGTCACTTAGTAGGTTAGTAATGCGAGAGGAGACTGAAGGGGTGAGGTGAGGAGTAGAAAGAGATTTGTGTGTCATCAGCATAGAGATTGTACTTGAAGCCATGGGAGTTTATCAAGTGACCAAGGGAGGAGGTGTAGATAGAGAAGAGAAAGGGTCCAAGGACAGAACCTTGAGGGACCCCTACAGAAAGAGGAAGTGGAGAGGAGGAAAGAGTTATAGGTAACACTGAAGGAGCGCTGCGATAGGTAGGAGGAGAACCAGGAGAGAGCAGAGTCTCAGAGGCCAAGAGAGTGGAGTTTTTTGAGGAGGATGGGATGGTCAATAGTATCAAAAGCCGCAGTGAGGTCAAGTAGTAAGAGTATGGAGTAGTGGGCATTGGTGTTAGCATTAGTATATCATTAGTGAGTTGTAGTAGGGCAGTTTCAGTGTAGTGAGTGAAAACTGGACTGTAAAGGGTCAAGAAGGTTGTTGTCAGTGAGGTAGGAGCTCAGGCGATTGTAGACTAAGCGTTCTAGGAGTTTAAAGGTAAACGGGAGCAGGGAGATGGGTCTTAAGTTGTTCAGGTTGGTGGGGTCCAGCAAGGGTTTTTTTAAGTATGGGAGTGACCTGTGCATACTTTAGAGGGGTGGGGAAGATGCCAGTAGAGAAGGAGAGATTGAAGATGTGAGTAAGGGAGCATAGGTTAGAAGAAGAGGGTGACCGTAGTAGTTGTTGTAAGAGAACAGGATCCAGGGGACAGGTGGTGAGATGGGTTTCTGAGAAAACTTTAGTGACCTCTTCGGTAGCAGCAAGGTCAAAAGAGGAAAGTGTTTAGGGAGGTTTAGTATAAGGGATGCTAAGTGGGATAGATGCCTGTGCAGGGGAGATGCCCACCCAGTCAGTGAATTACTGGGTGGAGGTGGCGGTGGAGAAAGCAGAGAGTTAAAAGAGACGAGGACTGGATGATAAGGTATTAATAAGAGTGACAAAGTAGGCTTGTTTGGCAGCATGGAGGGAGGAATTGTATTTTAAGAAAGCGAATTTAATCGGGTGAATGCTGGCTGTGATTTGGTTTTACGCGCCACAATCACTCCAGTGCACGGCTATATCTCTTAAGATTTCTGGTGTGGTCAGTCTGCCAAGGTTGTGACGGTCGGGGCCTGATGCTTCATGTTGTTAGAGGAGCAAGGGAGTCTAATGTGGAGAAAGCAAACTGTTGGAGGGAGAAGTGGCCAGGTCAGGGCAGGACAGGGGAGAGATTCTGTCATATAGGTGGTCGGTTGCAGAGTAGAAAAGGGTTAAAGTTGTGAAGGTTTCTGCGGGTGAATGCTACTTGGAGGGATAGGTGTTTGAAGAAGAGGACACTGTAAAAGGTGATGAGATTGTGATTAGAGAGAGAAAAGGGGGTGTTGGTGAGGTTGTAGGGAGTGCAAAGATTGGATAAAACAAGGTCTAGGGTTTTCCCATCAGAGGGAGTAGAGGACTGTGTCTGTTGTCTTAGGGCACATATATATAGTATAATAACTTAATTTTATTACAAAATGTATTACTCCACCACCTATTAATTTGTAGGTCACAAGGATTGCTAAACATAAACTTAAAAAAAAATGGAAGGAAAATCATTGTGTAATTTTAGCAAGTACCGTTTTAAGCTGACATAGTAATCACATGATCACAAACCACTGTGATTGGTACATAGTGTGGGCCCAAACAATCAATGACAGTTGGGACTGAGAGCCATTAGCTGCACTAAGTGTCAACTGGTGCCTCCCAAATGGGAAAACATTCAAATAAATGTATCCCAAGCATGACTGCTCTGTGCTGGAGGATATTTATATACAGATGGTAACCAAGAAGCTGTTAAAACAAAAACTCTATTAAGCATTATTTGCGCTTAAACAGGGAAGATACTTTCACAGCAAAGCCTTTTCCAAAAAAGATCTGCTTTTTTTGTGAAAAATAAAATTGCAGATTGTTTTGGGAGTTCCTTATGGATCTAGGAGTCACACACATATGGAGAAATTTCAAGCATTAGACTACTCGAATTAGACCGCTCTCTCTCCTCAGTACAAGTTGTCTCCCTCTTTTCAATATAAGTTGCCTCCACTTTTGTACAGGGAATTGTGTTTGTACCGGAACTACTTTTCTCCACCATACAAGTCAATCGGAATGCAAAACCAGCTTGATTTAGCTTAGAAGAAGGTAAAATGCATGACCCAGAATGATCTCAGAAGCATCTCTGACTACTCCTACATGGAAGCTATATACAGGTTGCATTTGCTTATAGATGCAAGACCCTAAAATATATGAAAACTAAATTCAGAGCTTTGTTGCAATACACAGTTATTTACCATGTATACCAGAACTGTTAAAACTAGTTATACTACTCCCTTTTTACTTGGTACTTTTTCTTTTGGGGACTTTGGAATTAGATAAAATAAAGATGGGAGGAAGCATGCACCTAGCAGAACATGGAACTTTCACAGTGTGCCTCTATGCAGCACACCAGTTTTTCTAAGCTTTCTCCAAAGTAAAGCACAGTTAAGTAGAAAACCTTAACTCCATCCAAATACACACACAACAAATTTTACAAACTAGGCATCATGTAAAATGATATATGCATTTTTCACTCCATAAGATGCACCTAGATTTTAGAGGAGGAAAACAAGAAAAAAAAATATTCTGAACCAATGGACAGCATAGTACAGGAGATGACCAGAGACTTTGGCTGTACTACAGGAGATGACCAGAGACTTTGGCTGTACTACAGGAGATGACCAGAGACTGTGGATATAATACAGATGACCAGAGACTGCAGGCATAGTGCAGGAGATGACCAGAGACTGCAGGCATAGTGCAGGAGATGACCAGAGATGCAGGCATAGTGCAGGATACCAGAGACTGCAGGCATAGTACAGGGGATATGTATACAGGGGATAGTGCAGGAGATGACAGGGGACTGCAGGCATAGTGCAGGAGATGACCAGAGACTGCAGGCATAGTGCAGGAGATGACCAGAGACTGCATAGTACAGGAGATGACCAGAGACTGCATAGTACAGGAGATGACCAGAGACTGCATAGTACAGGAGATGACCAGAGACTGCATAGTACAGGAGATGACCAGAGACTGCATAGTACAGGAGATGACCAGAGACTGCATAGTACAGGAGATGACCAGAGACTGCAGACATAGTACAGGAGATGACCAGAGACTTTGGATGTACTACAGATGACCAGAGACTGCAGACATAGTACAGGAGATGACCAGAGACTGCAGACATAGTACAGGAGATGACCAGAGACTGCAGACATAGTACAGGAGATGACCAGAGACTGCATAGTAGGACCAGAGACTGCATAGTACAGGAGATGACCAGAGACTGTATAGTACAGGAGATGACCAGAGACTGATAGTACAGGAGATGACCAGAGACTGCATAGTACAGGAGATGACCAGAGACTGTATAGTACAGGAGATGACCAGAGACTGCATAGTACAGGAGATGACCAGAGACTGCATAGTACAGGAGATGACCAGAGACTTTGGATGTACTACAGATGACCAGAGACTGCAGACACAGTACAGGAGATGACCAGAGACTGCGGACACAGTACAGGAGATGACCAGAGACTGCGGACACAGAGATGACCAGAGACTGCGGACACAGTACAGGAGATGACCAGAGACTGCGGACACAGTACAGGAGATGACCAGAGACTGCGGACACAGTACAGGAGATGACCAGAGACTGCGGACACAGTACAGGAGATGACCAGAGACTGCGGACACAGTACAGGGGATGACCAGAGACTGCAAACACAGTACAGGAGATGACCAGAGACTGCAGACATAGTACAGGAGATGGCCAGAGACTGCAGACATAGTACAGGAGATGACCAGAGACTGCAGACATAGTACAGGAGATGACCAGAGACTGCAGACATAGTACAGGAGATGACCAGAGACTGCAGACATAGTACAGGAGATGACCAGAGACTGCAGACATAGTACAGGAGATGACCAGAGACTGCAGACATAGTACAGGAGATGACCCGAGACTGCAGACATAGTACAGGAGATGACCCGAGACTGCAGACCTTTGGGGAGCTGGGGGTGGGTACCTGAATTTGACAGGTACCCGCTCCCACTTCCACGGAGTTGTCCTCCCTGTAGTCTTGTGGGACACATGACAGGTCCCAGAAGACTACAGGGCCATTCACAAAGCGTAGAGCTTCTCGCACATGCACAGTGGGCACTTGGCTGTGAAGCCGCAAGCTGCCACAGCCGGGTGCCCACACTGAAGATGTCGGCGCCAGGAAGAGAAAACGGCCAGTGAAAGCAGGACTCAGCTGAACCGAGGAACAGGTAGGACCGAGGAGTGAGTTCTTCTGCACAGTAGAGCCAACAGGGAGGGGGGGGATACCGGGCCGGCCGCTCCATATGATGCATAGACATTTTCCCCCCATTTTTATGGAGCGAAAAATACGGTAATTATTGTGGAAGTACCTTTCATAACCAATCAGTCAAAGTTCAGTGCACAGTACTTGTGAGCACTTACTGAATGTTCCAGCTCAGAAGTGAGAGTGATAAATCTCAAGAAGAGTTCTCCTCCAGAAGAAACAGCCACAGAGGAGTCTGCTTTAGAGAGGGTTTCAATTGCATTTTTCAGACTCCCAATTAGACCTTGAATAGTTTCACCTGAAAATGAATTATCATCCAATGTTAAATAGGGCAAACTATTTATGGTCATACAGAAACATGTATTTTGGTACATTATTACTGGTAACAGTTGCTCTGCAATACCTGGTTGTCTACCCCACGTGTGATAGCTCACAAAGTCCCGTATGCTACATTTCAGATTTATACTCCCGTCTAGACCCTTGGTGCCCATTATGCGGCCCGCCTAGTGTTGTGCGCCAGGTAAACTATAGCCTCTGTTCCTCATGCCAGCTGCATAGTAGAGCAAAATGAAGCACAAAAGTGCCGCATTCCAGAGCCAGACATGTGGCAGCTCTGTTGAAATGTAAATAAAAGCATCAGCTTTGTTTGGGCTACCAACACACCTACATTGGCACATGTACCATTTCTAGCAATGCCTGAGCTACAATGCACATTTATCTGTTTTTGTACATAAAGATTTATAACTGCCGTCTATCTGAAATTAAAGTCCAAATTCTGTTGTTTGTCTCTTTGGACATGTCGAGAGCCGAATTTGAGGCCCTCTGTAGATATCAGGTTGACCGCCACTGCTTTGAACTATCCACAACCTTGGAGGCAGAATATAATGTGTGTGAATGTTTGGTGCCTGCAGTTGTGGAATGTGACATACAGGGACATGTGACATACAGGGATATGGACATGTGAATGCACATCATGTAAAGCACATAGTAACACAGTAAATATTAATTATTTGTATACCATAACTGAAATAATTTTGAAAGTAAAACAATTTACAATTTGGTACCTTTTTACAAAGTTTTATTTTGTGGTCAAGTGACTGCACAGTATTCTGTATGGTGCTTCTTCCTGTTAGCATGAGAACAGTCAGTTTCTAAAGTGGGTTGGCACTTTATAGTGGCATACACAGTACGTTCCAGAAGGGTGACATGCATTCCAGAAGGGTGTTCCTCCTCTCTCCAACACTGCTGCTGTATGCTACAAGCAGCTCTTGTTTTGACAAGGGAGCGGCAGTCAATGAAGCCAATAGGACTTGGAGAGGGGACATGGCAGCTAATATGATCACAGGAGATACAGGCAAGTCAGCCTGTATTTTAAAAGAGAAAGCAGACATACACAAACTGACCACACCAGCAAGGATCTGCTTCCTTGCCTGGCATGAAAAAGGGAGAAAAAGGGAGAAAAGGATCTGGCAGGATCACTAGGTGTTTGGGAGAAATTGCAGCATTCAAAAAGGAAGAGGCTGGATTTACAATACCCAATATTATTATATCTGGAATAGGCAAATTAAAATCTAAGAACTAATACCTGTCTGTGTATGCTATATTGCAGAGACTTTGGGGTTGATTTAGGAAAGGCTACACACTTTGTAAGGGAAGTTGTACTTTGCAAAATAATTTTCCCCAGAGATTAGTGAATGAGGTAAAGCTCTGCTGACTCATCCAATCATGTGCAAGTAAAAATGTTGGTTTTTTTTTTCCTTGCATGTGATTGGGTATTCTTTGCAAAGTGAAATTTCACCACATTTGCTAAGCTTTGGGGAGAGAGAGTTCCCTTGCAATGCGCAGACAGTTCCCTTGCAAAGAGGCTTTGTGTTTGGCTCCATGTACACGGTGTGTTTGGAGAACTCTTCTGAATGCTGGAAATTGACAGAAGAAAAACGCAGGTTACAAAACGTCAGTTTTGCCACGTTTGCATGCTGAGTTTATGAGCATTTGCAGTCAGAAGCGTTTTTTAAAGATAAGCACAGGAATGCACTGGAAAATGGTAAATTATTAACTATTTCAGACTGTTTGAGACAAAAAGAGAGAGAGCAGAAGCAGAGAGAGCAGTATTTGTTGAGATTAGGTGTCTTTTTTTTTTTCTGGTGTTTGGATCTGTTCCAGCTCATTTCTGTGCAGAAATTATTGCAGCAGTGTAACATATTTTCTTTCATGTGAAACCCCAAATTATGGTTTACCAGGTCCATTTGAGTACCGGGAAAATGCTTTGCATGCATTTTTCATGATAAAAAAGACTTTGGACAGCATCTGGAAATGGAAGAGTTAAAAAAAAAAAATCCAAAACGCAAATAAACGCGGTTAGCCGCGTTTACAAGCATTTGGCATTTGAAACGCTGATAAAATCTACTCCTGAGCACAAGTTTGGTGCGTTGAAAAAAAAAAAACAACTGTAAACTCAACTGCCTGTAAACGAATGTAAAGGACATGGACACATAGGAAAACATTAGGGAGAGTTCAGGGGCTGCTGAAAAAAAAACGCAGAACAGCTCCTAAATGTGAATCTATCAGCTGCAGTGTACATGGAGCCTTTTAGGTAAATCAACCCCTTTATCTTATCTATTCCTTTGACTGAAAATGTAGAACATACTGTAGGTGCATACCATTGTCACCATTGATTTTGTTACTTTATGCCCAGTTCAATACTAATAAAAATGCTTTTGTATTAAAATTTATATAAACACTTCTATATTAAAGAGAGCAATAGTAATTTGCTGCAGGACACAGTCATACCTTTATCTTTCTTCAGAAACTCCAGCAAGGTTCTGATCGCAGCCACAGCAGTTGCAACATTGGGGTCTTCACGTAGCTGACATTTAAAATACTCAATTACTTCTGTGAGGAATAACAAAAAAAATCTAAGAATCAATAAATATGTACAGAAATATATTTACATGTTTTGTTTTCTTTTTAAGATCAGTTCCACTTTAAAGGCTGTGCTCATTATCTCTATTTTTCTGTTATTTTTCAGATTTACTTTAACACATTTGCTCTTAATCCACAGACAGGAAAAATCCACTTGCAGAAATTCAGGAAAATACGCAATTCACCAAAGATGAGTAATCTCAATTACAAAATGAATTCACTCATCTCTGTGAAACCCACCAAACCCAACTCCTTTTTTCATTTAGGCCCCCCCAGCTCCCCCTCTGATGCACTGGCCCCTAGATCGCTACTGGATCCTGTAGTAATATAGTGGGCAGCAGGAGCAATCATAGCATGCAGTGGGAAGAAGATATCTTTAACACCCAAAAGTGTTGGACGCAGAAAATTCTTTGACTACTGTAACTCTGTGACGGACTATTGGGGAATATCGGTATAAAAGGAAGAAACAGTAAGTATTATTTTCTTAACAGGGAGCATTTGCTGTTCTTAGTAATAACAATAAATTTAAACATTGCAGTCCCATTCCTGCAGTGGAGTGGCAATTTACTCACCATGCTTAGATACAGGCATAGGCTCCTCTAACTCCACAGGTTCCTGGACATGCCCAGGAAAGATAAGTTCACCAGCTTCCATCCCTCAGCAGCTCAGAGAAGCAACACATGGTAAGGCCAAAGTAGCTGACCTTGACTGTCAGAACCGGCACATGGGCAGCCAGCTCAGGACTGAATAGCATGTAGCATCTCCAGAAAACCCAGTTACTGTGTGTAGCACTATCCAAATTGCTACCAGAGTACTGCATTTCCAGTGGGGTGCCCCCCCCCCCTTTGTGTCTTTAGACCTGAAATCCCTCCACCTGTTCACCTGTTACCAGAGGTATCCCCAACTTTACTGTGAAGGATGCTATATAGGAGGATAATCAAAAGTAGGTGTTTTGTATTGCTTTACTGAAGTACTGATTCTCAGCTAGCCTCTCTGGTAGGAATTTAATAAACCTTAAAGACACTTTTCTGGTGATGTGGACCTTTAACATGGCCCGTGCCAGATTAAAAAAAAATCTCTGCTGCCCATATTGTAAGCTTTCCAGACACATGTAGCAGAGTCAAGTATATCTTTGTATACAGTGAGGAACAGAAATATTTGAACACCCTGCGATTTTGCAAGTTCTCCCACTTAGAAATCATGGAGGGGTCTGAAATTCACATTGTAGGTGCATTCCCACTCAGAGATAGAATTTAAAGAAAAAAATTCAGGAAATCACATTCTATGATTTTTAAAGAATTTATTTGTCTTGCACTGCTGAACATAAGTATTTGAACACCTAAGAAACAGCAAGAATTCTGGCTCTCAAAGACCTGTTACTGTGCCTTTAAAAAGTCCACCTCTACTCCACTCATTAATCTAACTTAGTAGCACCTGTCTGAGCTCTTTAAAGACACCTGTCCACCCCACAGTCAGTCAGATGCCAACTACTACCATGGGCAAGACCAAACAGCTGTCAAAAGACACCAGAGACAAAATTGTGGACCTCTACAAGGCTGGAAAGGGCTATGGGGCAATTGCCAAGCAGCTTGGTGAAAATAGATCAACTGTTGGAGCAATTGTTAGAAAATGGAAGAGGCTAAAGAAAACTGTCAGTCTCCCTCGGACTGGGGCTCCATGCAAGATCTCACCTCGTGGGGTATCACTGATAAGAAAGGTGAGGAATCAGCCCAGAACTACAAGGGAGGAGCTGGTCAATGACATGAAGAGAGCTGGGACCACAGTTTCAAAGGTCACTATCGGTAGAACACTACGCCGTCATGGTTTCAAATCATGTATTGCACAGAAGGTTCCCCTGCTCAAGTCATCACATGTCCAGGCCCGTCTGAAGTTTGCCAATGACCATCTGGATGATCCTGAGGAGGCATGGGAGAAAGTCATGTGGTCAGATGAGACCAAAGTAGAACTTTTTGGTCTAAAACTTCACTCGTCATGTTTGGAGGAAAAAGAAGAATGAGTTGCATCCCAAGAACTTCATCCCTACTGTGAAGCATGCTTTGGGGGTGCTTTTCTGCGAAGGGGACAGGACGACTGCACTGTATTAAGGAGGGGATGAATGGGGCCATTTATTGTGAGATTTTGAGCAACAACCGCCTTCCCTCAGTCAGAGCATTGAAGATGGGTCATGGCTGGGTCTTCCAACATGACAACGACCCGAAGCACACAGCCAGGATAACCAAGTAGTGGCTCCTTAAGAAGCATATCAAGGTTCGGGAGTGGCCTAGCCAGTCTCCAGACCTAAATCCAATAGAACATCTTTGGAGGGAGCTGAAACTCCGTGTTGCTCAGCGACAGCCCTGAAACCTGACAGATCTAGAGATCTGTGTGGAGGAGTGGGCCAAAATCCCTGTTGCAGTGTGTGTGCAAACCTGGTCAAGAATTACAGGAAACGTTTGACCTCTGTAATTGCAAACAAAGGCTTCTGTACCAAATATTAACACTGATTTTCTCAGGTGTTCAAATACTTACAGTGGGGCAAAAAAGTATTTAGTCAGCCACCAATTGTGCAAGTTCTCCCACTTACAAAGATGAGAGAGGCCTGTAATTGGCATCATAGGTAGACCTCAACTATAAGAGACAAAATGAGAAAAAAAATCCAGACAATCACATTGGCTGATTTGGAAAGAATTTATTTGCAAATTATGGTGGAAAATAAGTATTTGGTCAATATCAAAAGTTCATCTCAATACTTTGTTATATATCCTTTGCTGGTATGTTGGCCCATTCCTCCATGCAGATCTCCTCTAGAGCAGTGACAGCAATAAAAATCTGACAGCTGTTCTAATCTTTTTCCACTTTCCACTCTGTCCAAAATGAAATGAAAAAAATGCAGACTTCTTCAATTTAAAAAGCAGACCTGAACGGAAGCAGACAAAAAACTGATGTAAATGGACAACGTACGTTTTTCATCCATCAACAGATGGATTAAAAATGGACAGATTAAAGGAACCTACGGCTGGGGGGTGGCTGTTAGGCACTTCATTCTCAGGGCAGCTGAGCTCCCTCCTTACCAATGCACCTGTCGCCCAGACAGAACAGCATTCCATCTGTTGATGGATGAAAAACGTACTTTGTCCATTTACATCAGTTTTTTGTCTGCTTCCATTCAGGTCTGTTATTTAAATGGAAGAAGTCTGTATTTTTGTTCCGGTAAAAAAACAGAATGGAAGAAGAATGGATGTAAATGGGCAAATTGTCCGTTTTTGCAATGGTAGTGGATGAAAAAACTGATGTACAACTGATCAGTTTTTTCAAAGAAAAAAAATGGAATCGCGGTACTTAAAAATCTCCATGGGTGATGCTTTAAAAATTTCTACAGGTTAGCAGTGTAAAGTTACAGAGGATGTCTAGTGCGAGCATTATTGCTCTTGCTCCGACATTCATGGCGATACCTCACGTGTGCGGTTTGAACAGCATTTCCATATGGGGGCATGGCCTAAGTATGCATTCACCACAGAGGGACGAGGGCACTTTAAAAACTTTTTTTTTTTTTTTTGCACTGTCCCTTTAAAAAAAAAAAGTTTTAATCACTTTTATTCTTATCACAAGAATTGCATGCATCCCTTGTGATAGAAATAATTAGTGACAGGTAAAGCATTGGATCAAAAAAACAAAACAAAAAAAAAAACAAAAAAACACTGATCTAGCACATTAAAGAGAAAAAAAATGGCCGGAACAGGAAGGGACATCGATCCGGTCCTCCAAGGGCATAGAGATGAGTGGAGGCCATCTTTCCTTCACTCATCTCTATGCCCAACACCAGGGATCGGTCGATGGTTTCTCAGGTAAGGCTGAGAACTACCGGAGCAGCGTCCGGTGGCGGCGGAGCTTTTTTGGCACCTGTATCCGTGCTTTTTTTTTTTTCATTTCGGGCAACAGCCAAAAGGAGTGTTTTCGGCCGAAACATTTCAGCCACCGAAATTTCGGTGCATCCCTACAAGATAGTGCAAATAAATTTTACAGAAAAAAAGGTGTTACAAAGAAACAATGAAAAAATAAAGCAACAGTGAATTAAAAAGGAGTTTTAATGAAGAATACTTGCAATGTCCTTGGTTTTAGCAGAGCTAAGAGTGAGAGCTGTCATCCGGTTTAAGAGGTGGGTGCGGGGAAGTCACCTCATTCATGACCAAGTGAAAAATAGTTTCTTAGAAGTATTCATATTTCTGAATACCTACCATTTACAGGTCTCAGAAAACTATTTCCCATAGGAGGGGTGTGGAGGCCTAATCCACTCTAATACCTCCTAGCATAGGGGTGTTTGAATGCTACCCAATAACTGATGAAGGTGAATATGACTTTATTCTGGCTATACTGTCATCATTTCAGAAGTTATGAAACATGCTGAAGTTTTAGAGTCTCAGCTGATAAGCAGTCTATCATAGTTTGAAACAAAAATAGAATTGTGTGCTGCCAATGTGCTAAATAGAATACAAAATCAATAAAGTATACCACATATAATGAGCTGCTGCAGACACGTTATGTGTGTTCTCATAAAGTAATATACAAGTGAATAAAAATGTTGCACTGCTCAAAAACAAACAATATTGTGAAAATAAACAGTAAATAAATTTAAAGACAAAACTCCAAACGTGACTATAGTCCACACAGATAATGATAGAAAAAGTTCTTAAAAAATCCCAGCAAGAGTAGAGCATCTTCCTACTGGTGACTGAACCCAGAATCCCAGTGCTGCAAATCCTCAATACATGTGAGTCACCACAGTGAACATAGAGATCCAGGTGGACCCTCACCTTCTCACATGGACCTGTATGTGAACACAGGTCAGATAGGTATCTCCCCTATTAGTGGGGGTAAAACATAACTTGCTCCTCTGTGGGCAATCTTCCCCTCATAAACTATCGCTGAATCTTCCAATTGCACCTGATATCAGTATAGCCGGCTCTGGGGGTA